TATGTATAGAGGCACAGGAAATCAATTTCAAAAATGGTTTATCTTACTGGTAATTAATTCTAACTGAAATATGTGAATTCAGCTATTACTAATCTAGTTCTGGCTCTTGCCTTCACTTGTTTGCAGATTATCTTCTGATATGTCTAATCACTTACATACACTCAAGTGTCTCTCTCACACATATTTATGCAGTTGTCAACCTTACCAGGACTGGTTTGAAATAGAGCTAAAAATACTAAGTTGGCTAAATGTATAAACTATCCATTTTACAAGACTGTTGTTGATAGACAGTATAAATAACCTATTCTTTCTGTTATAGGGAATTATCTTAAATTTGAAAACATCTTCATTTCAGGTAAATATATTATTCCTCACAGTACCCAAAACAGGTGTGTTTTCATAGAATAAAACTCTTAATTTCAGTCTTCAAACTTAATCTTTTAAAATTGTGCACCATATTTAGAGAATAATCTGAATGGACTGCCGAGAAAAATATTCATAAACATATGCAACCCTTATTATCTAGGGATCAATAGGACAGAAACTTACTGCAAACATAAGATAAGCAACTCCAAAATTAAAGTTCTTCCAAAACGCTATGAGATTTATGCAAATAATTACTAGCATATTTAAACTAAATTTGTGGGTGGGCTGTTCTAGACTTTTAACTTCTCTACGTATTTCATTACACCCCAACTGAAAAAAGAAATAGGCATATTAAAGAGAAGACACTCACTGACTCACTAAATTATTTATTTAGAGGATGGCAGTGTGCATCCTTAGAAACAATAATTAACATAATCTCAATTTTCTCCCTTATATTATTCATTTTTATATGTAGCTCACCCTATTTGAAATTTTAATTTTATGGTAACCAAACACACTAAGCTTTTGGCATTGGAATTATATTGTGAAACATCACTGTTATATCAAATACTAGAAGGTCAAGAAATACTGAGGTGCTCAGTATATAACTAGTTGTAGTTAAATGCCCAAAGCATAATTAGTAGTGTATCCAGTGCTTTAGTAGCGATTCTAGAAGATCAAAAAATACTGAGCATTTAAGGTGTCCGATATATAACTAGTTATGGTTAAACGTCCAATGTATAATTAATAGTGTATTCAGTGATTAGTGCCTATACCTATGATATCTCAAGTACAATCATATTAGGATGTCCCTATTTGGATTAAATGCATTAATTTGGTATCCATTTCAATTCATTTATCTTATTTATGTGCATGATTTAACAAAATTATACTGTATATTGCAAAAATGAATAGAATTAGATTATAAGGGGACAGCAGTTCATTTTTTCAAAGTGTTAGGATTTTACCCACTCCAAAAATAAATGTATATTCTTCTAAAAATGGGGTGCAGAGACACCGTGTGTAACTTTAAATTAAAATCAGTAAGGTTAAATGTGAAACACAGCCTTGCTAAAATAAATGCTATAATTTTTCAGAATTTGGATTGTTTCACACCCCCATCCCAAGAGGCTGTATTAGAACATCAAATGAGAATCTTTATTGAAGCATATGGTAGTAGTGCAACTACGTGATATAAAGACTGGCACTAAAGGATTAAAACACTATCAGCTCAGGTCAGCTTGCATTTTTTGCTAATCAGGTTAAACAATATGCCTTTATATACAGAATCTAAACTTTCACAGAATATTACACAATATTAACAATTAGCATACTTTATTCTTTCAAACCTGATAATTGGTTTGTATCAGAGAAGAGTTAATGCATGACCAATTCTAAAAGTTGACGGAGTTCCAATTCAACAGGTTAGCCATACATTCTTTACAGCAATAGTTTGTTTTTACAACTAAGCAGGTCAATCTATTGGGTGACTTCTTCATAATTGTTGTTGACAGGCTTCCTGAAATACCCCAAAAAGAAGCTTAGTCTGCACTGCAGAGAGATGCATATGCTTCAAACATGATGAGGAAGAAATGCTTTGGATTAAAGGTAGTCCTTGCTTACCGATTGCTTCAGGGAACGATTGTTAGTAGTTATTACAGGTAGTCCTCGTTTGTTTAGTGACCATTCAAAGTTACAACAGGATTAGAAAAAGTGACTTATGACCATTTTTCAGTTTATGATCGTTGCAGCATCCTCATGATCATGTGATCAAAATTCAGATGTTTGGCAACTGACTCATATTTATGACAGTTGCAGTGTCCTGGGGTCATGTGATACCTTTTGTGACCTTCTGACAAACAAAGTCAATGGGGAAAGCCAGATTCACTTAAAAACCATGTTACTAACTTAAGAACTGCAGTGATTCAGTTAATTTAACGACTGTTGTAAAACAGGGCAAAACTCTCTTGATAAATGTCTCATTTAGCAACAGAAATTTTGGGCTCAACTGTGGCGTAAATGGAGGACAACCTCGGTTTACAGTCGAGGTGCTAAAGGTACAATGCTAAAAATAACTTTTGAAAACCAATCCTTGCATTTACCACTGCAGAATCTCACAGAGATGTGATCACCATTCAGGTGGTTTGCAACCAGCATGCATTTTGCTTGCAGAGTTAATACTGTACAATATGGAAGTAAAATTGTAAGTCACAATCAAGTGATTTTTCACTTAATAACCATGTCACTTTGCTTAATGACTGAAAGCCATTACAAAGCCATTGTGAGCCTAGTGACAGTCATATGATTTTCTCCTTACAGCCCAAGTTGCCAGTCTGAATTTTGATTGCTAAGCAAGGATTATCTGTACATATAAGGACAGCACTTTTCTAATGTTCATTTGAGAAAGGATGCTGCTGCTTTTATGAACAGCAGAGAAGTGCTGTGTTCATGCAAGCTCTGATGTATTTCTTCTGAAGCATTCAGGAAACATTCACAATCCAACATATAATGTTTAGTTGGAATTAATGATATGCAATTCCTGAGAAACCAAGACGGATCTTGCAAATAAGGAAAGAAAAACCTCTTTCTTATTTTTTGAATTTGATGACCAGTAGTGACACTTGCAAAAATGACATTTCAAAGGATTTTTGAATCAATGGGAAAGAAGCTTGTAGAGACAATGACAGCAACAATATTTGCTCCGAGAAATGCACAAATTAAAAGAGATCTTAAAAAAGAAATGAAAGATGTAATGGAGAATAATTTGAAAGAATTCACTGATTGACAGAATTGAAGAGAAAAAACAACCTAGGCAGAAATATTGAAAATGAAATAGAAGTTGTGGACTATAAGACAGAGATGAAATTAAAGTGGAAATACAAAGTATAAGCCAAGAGATGAAAAATGACCTGGTAATGATTCATTACTGGATTTACAAAAGAGACCTGTTAAAGCCGTAAAAATACTCCTGAGATGGGAGAAAGAAAATTTTGATGGAGATCAAATCTTATGACAGCATCTTAATGAAGCAAAGATTGAGAATATTAGGAGCCAAAGAAAGGAATATAAAGCTGACCTGTTTGATCAGGGTTAAGAAATACGTTTTAGGAAAGTTCTAGGAAAAATAAATATTTTTGCTGATACTAGACAGAAATCTTAATAGATTTTGAATTTGAAGCATTGAAGATAAGCATTGTGATATGGGAAGAAGTGATTTATGCAATGTAATATCAAAGAGGGTGGAGAAATGCTAAATAAATCTGCTTATATTTGTAAAGAAAATCAAAAGCCATTTCTTTAAATCCTTCCTTCCTTCCTTCCTTCCTTCCTTCCTTCCTCCCTCCCTCCCTCCCTCCCTCCCTTCCTTCCTTCCTTCCTTCCTTCCTTCCTTCCTAACTTTAATGAAGAAAAAGTGTGCTGTTTTAACTTCAGATGGCTCAGGATAATAGATATTGCTACTTACACAGAGTTGACTTGCACATTATGCACAATAAATGACAAAAATAAGATATGGCAGTGTTTAGGTGGATAAATTGTTATCCTCAATATATATATATAAATATTATCCATCTATGTTTGGGTAATGCTGATGAATAGGAAAGAGAATCTATGTGAAAATAACAATATACCCTGGCTAGGTTGCATCATGGGACACATATTCTTCCTTAGGACCTGCAATTAAGGATGTAATTTAATTATATTTATTAATATAATGTAATGATTACAGAATTACTTTTGGACTGGGGTGATATGTTCTTTCCACTGCTCCTGTACTCATATCTGAAAAGTGAGCTGATCATTAGCTCTGGGCCTAATGTATCTCATAAAGCACCTGTGTGAATAGAACGGAAAATAAACGATGGTCCTTCAAAAAAGAATTGGTTTATAACTGTCATAAATTGAAGAAGTAACTGTATTTGCATATTCAGAATCCCATAAAATTATACGTGGAGACTTTTAGGATGAAAGACAATAAAATATAGAAATGGAATAACAACAAGAGAGAAGCAATGATTTCAATTCATAACTGTGCAGAACAAAACTCTGTGCCTTGGATTTTCATGGGGGTGTGGAAAGGTAAATTCTGCCCATTTCTCCTGTCTTTTGAGCATCAGGACTTTGGCTCCAAATTGCTGGGAACAAAATTAGTGGAGGTGTTGATGAAATGAAACAAATGAAAAGGAAAAATATTGCCTCTCCTTTTTTCAACATATAGAAGTGTCCACTTAGTGGAGCAGAAAACTCTGCTGGCTTTAATTCACTTCCATGAATGTGAAACAGCATATTTAATTTCATCACTTTCCAAAAAGATCTCTGAAGGTCCCATAAAAACAGTTTGTAAAAAAAAGTTTGACAATTTCAAAGAAACATATAAAGACTGAAAATCTTGGAACTAAGAGGTGATTTTTTTTCTCACAAAACACAGCATAGCAATCTCTTTTAAAATGTCTTCCAAGTAAGTATCAACATAAAATAAAAACTGCCAACCCCTCCCCCAATGTACACAACAATTTCTGCCACAAATGTAATAGTTTCTTAGAAACTAAATAGGAAAATTCACCAGTATTTGCCATTGGTATAAACCAAAAGGAAACAATCATATATTTACATATTAAAATTAATTAGTAACTTACCTCTGGAAATTTTAATTTTAATGTCTGATGCATTTCCCTAAAGCGGCTATATCTCCTGAATATAGCCCATGTCTCATCTAGGACTGATATCTGTTTTGTAAAAGTAAACAATATAATTAACAGAAAAGGAACATAAAGGTTTATATTACAAGGCTTCTCATAATAGATAATTTTCCCTGACTAAGCATGATTACTCACACACCAAAATTTAACTTGGAGCAAAATAAACCAATATTTTCAGTTTGCTAGGAGAGACTGAATATGTAATTGCATTAGCATGGAAGTCATTTTCCCATGAGGTAATTCTATAATTATGGGCACATTTGTTGTAAGGAGAGCTATTTTTGTGACTTTTTATCACTTGACATTACCTCAACCAGGAGGTGGAGTGCCAATTATCTGGATAAGTTATGCAATCAAAATGGAATAGGAATACTACTGTATTAGATCATACAATGGAAAGCATATGCATCAGCATTAACTGATTAAACAAATAAGTATTTGCAAGTGAACAGCATTATCAACAGGATTATCAATGAAGAAAGAAGGAATTGCGCCTTCTAGCAACATGTGTGATGCCATGAAGCATGCAGTAAAGGTTTAGGATGCAATGAGAGGCTACAAAGCTGCTATCATCAGTCTCATCTCCTTTTTATTTTCACCTCTGGGAAAAATATATCTTCTTTTGAGAGCAGGTATCAAAATTTCATTTTTTAATGTGTGCCAATGTGTTCACAGAAAAAAGTAACAATAATGGTTATTTTATATCATCCCATTCCATCCCATCCTATCCCATCCTTCCTCAACTTTGGATATCACTTCAAGAGAGCTGGTATGATACAATAAGCCCAGTGGAGTAAAACAGTGGAGAATATAAAGTCAAAGACTATCCCAGTTTATCAAGATTTTTAGGATTAAACCAAACTTCTATACTATAGGTAAAGGTAAAGGTTTCCCCTGCCCAGTCATGTCCAACTCTGGGGGGCAATGCTCATCTCCGTTTGTTAGGTGAGGGAGCCAATGATGTCCAAAGAAACTTCCGTGGTCAGTATGACTATATACCAAGATGCAGGGAACGCTGTTACCTTCCTACAATATACTTAGTATTCTTAATACTTAGCATAGTATATTTAGAATACTTCTTAGAAGTTCTACTTATACTAGTCAAGTTTATATATTTGTATCTTCTTTAGTCTCCCACTTCAACTATTTAAAACATTCCCTCCATACCTGTCCTAATCAGTGTTCTGAGGTGTGCAGATGACATTTGGCTGGGCCACACTGGTGCCACGTCTTGTAGAAATGCTTTCCAATAGGATGCTAGAAACAACTCAAAATCTCCTAAAAGAAGGGGTCCTGACCCACAGTTTATGATTGCTGTTATGACTCCTTGATAGTCATGCTCCCTCCCTCTGAGCAAAGAGAGAAAGTAAAGGACGATTATGTGTTACAATCTAGCTCACTCTTCGTTTTCCAAACTGAGCCTTTTCCATAAGAAGATATAAAACATGCAAATATTCCATATGTAGACAAATAATGCATGCCAACAAAAATAAAAATATTTAAATATCTTACCTTGATTTCATATTCATAATGCTCATCCTTTCCCTGCCCACAAAGGACATAACGTGGGATGCTAATTTTAACTGGATTCTTTACGTCATCTGGATTTGTTTTAACAGGGCGACAGAACATTCGCTATCAAATGAATATTAAAAGGAAATTAAATACTGCATCATTTCATAAATAGCATTGCTTGAAACCAGAATGTTATTTAATAGAAAAAAATAAGGTTTAGTTAGATAATTAAGGATTTATGCGATAGTAAAGAATAGTTCTCTCATGAATGGTCAACATTACTTTCAAATATAGAATAGCTACTGAAGAATACCACTGCAAAATGTGTCGTTATGCTTTATGTAACTTCAGTAGAAGTAAAAGGCTTGTATCCACACTTTGCACAGCAGAAATTGCATTAATAGTATAACCCCACCAGTAGAAGGAGACAAAGTTCTTCTTTCTGTTCTGGAGATTGGGCAACCTTCTGAAAACAGAAGGAGATGGAAGAAAAGGAAGAACTGGAGAAAACTGGATAACGTGAACTCTACTGGACCTCAACTACAGTAGTGGCCAAAATTTTGGAAACCTTTTGGGAAAAGTATATTATCTAAAACTAGCTAATCACACCACTTTTTTTGGAGTAGTATCATAAAATTATATATCAATGGAAAGATAACTTAATCAAGAATGTAATGCAATAACTTTATGAAGGATTTGCTATTAGAATAGCAGTTACAGTATAAAGAAGAGATGTGAAACATGTGGAAAAAATGAGATATACAAAAATTATCACCATGTCACCATGTCAGTTATAGTTGGGTAACCTTTAGCATGAATTACGGCCTTACAACGTTTTCCCATGGAGTGAACCAAGTCTTTTAGTTCTGCAGCTGTTATAATGTGAAACCAAGGTTGAATGATTGCTTCTATTAACTAGGTTTTATTGCTGGGTCACTTCTGACTAACAAGTTTCTTTAGTCGGCTCCATAGATTTTCAATTGGGTTAAGATTTGGGCTATTCCCAGTCCATTCCAGCAGTGGAATATGATTATCTTAAACTCCAAAGAAAGGTGATGTTATTAGCCACCAAACCTCAAAAATATACTTTTTCCAAAAGATTTCTACAATTTTGGCCACTACTGTGCTATAGATAAAAGAGGAACTTCCTTGTGTAGAATAGCTATGGGTACAATTTACAATCAAAAGTTTTTAAGATCAGAAACAAGTTTTTTATGAATAGAAAGAAATTTTAGTATGTAATAGATATCAAGCAACACTTTTAGTAATCTGGAAATTTTGCAAACATTTTATTCCTTAAAAAAAGCACTTTGTTATCTTGTAACTTAATAACATTCTGATAGTATTTCATCATATAGCAAACAACAAAAATCATACAGCCTCTGCAGATCAAGCTCCATATATTCCTAACTTTGAATCTAATAGTGAACCAGAGGATCTGATGAATGGAATCTTTATATTTTTTTCAGATATTACACAGTTTACCCAAATTGTTCATGAATACAAAAGAATACAGAGACAAGCTTCCCATTAAACATTTATTGCAAAAGCTTATGTTTGAAATCCAGGGGCAAGATCAAAACCAAAAAAATTATATAGTCATTTTCTGTATTTATTGTCTAGAGCAGTAGCCATCACTGACAGTTTACCAAAATTAGATGTCACTGAAATGTTTATAGCTCTAGAACAATTCCACCAGCTTTAAACAAGGAGAAAATTTATTGTAAAAGTGACTCTTGTAATCACATCAGATCCTAAAAAGACAGCCTTGAAAATGTGTTATTACAGGGAATAAAAAATAGCATTGTTCTATTACTTGCAACATCAACTTTAGTCTGAATAAACATTTGTCAGGAATTGTGGTTGGTTCTAAGTTAACATTTGGTTTAGGAATACACATTCAGCAAGCGACATAATTTAAGCTGTAGAATGCACTAACAAAATATAATTTTTAATTTTAGATTTGTTTAATTTACAGAAATACAAAACACTAAAAATGTGAATATAAAATAATATAAATCTTATATTACTATTTAAAAGAAAATCAGTTGTACATCATAACAGATTTTAAAACTTCAAACACCTGGGGGAGTAGTAGTAGAAAAATCTTAGTGACTAAAGGAAGGAGAGAAAAGAATTAACACCAGCTGAATTCCCTCAACAGAGGGCAACAGTGCTAGCCATCTAATTTCAAAAAGGTGGGAAAAGCCAGGTGGCTATCAAAGAAAGGGCAGATTCATATATGGATAGATGTACATTCACTGGAATTATTTTATAACATACAGTAAGATACATCTCTGTATCTTGGAGGAAACTGCATTAATTTGGTAAGACTTCTTTCAAACAAACATGAATGAAATGATTTAAAGTATCCTGAAAGAATGACAACGGCTGTGGACAAAATTAATTATTCTGAACCTATACTTATTTGTCCCCTGTTCCATTTTAATTAATATGCTAATTTTGTACATGTTATAACTCATTTTCTATTTTTCTGATCAAAAGCTGATGTGTGAAAGGCCTATCATCACTGTGAACTTCCAAGATTTCAAAAATTACACAGTATGTTTTGGTTGGGTTTTCAATTTTCTCTGTGTTAATATTTCTTTTTAACAGTCTTTTTGTTTGCATAAATATTTCTTTGGATTCTGTCTTTGAATAATATGAATAGTCTGGAAACCCCTGACAAAGGAAAACAAATCTTTGTTCAAATCACAAGACTCAAGGCTCTTGCATCTTTCCAAGAGACATATAACTACTGATGATAAAGGTTAGGTAGCAGAAAGATTGGATGGGCTAAGTTTATATTAATAGTTTTACCAAAAAAAAAAAAAAAAAGAAGAAGGAAAGAAAGAAAGTATGGCCCTTTTAATAAAGGCACTTTATGTTGAAAATTATAACAGATGTAAAAGGCCATTATCATTATGGTAATTAAGTGTTCAAAAAAAAATAATTCCCTCCAGCTAATACTTATGTTCCTAATTTAGATATTATTGGTGCATTTTATAATTGTCTAAGCCATCTTCTCTTGATTATCTTCCAATGTTTTGATAATTGGTAGGTATTTTAATCAAATTCTTGATCCAATTTTAGGCAACATTCATATAAAATTAGTATTCAGTTCAGTTTAACATTGATTGCCTAAATGTAAAAGGCTAGTTTAATTGATATAAATACTTATTAAAAGAGATTACACTTTCTTACATTGGTTATTCTTGCTTGGATTTTAAAATAAATCTTCATCTTTTCTTTAAAATATGTATTACAGATATTGTGCTTTTCTTGTTTGGGGGTTGATGAACAATCTAAAACTTCATGATGGGGTTGATGAGCTGAAGAGTTTGGAGATCCCTACTCTAAACTAAATAGCTCTTGGCATACATAGCTCTTTCTGCACATGATATATTATTGTTCATTGATAAACCTAAATTTTCCACAATAAGATTAATTAGTTGAATGGCTTAGATAATACTAATTTAGTGGTACTGAAATGATTGCCTTTGGGGAACTGTCCTAGAAGGAGCCTTTAATTTACCATATCTATCACGTATCTTTTTTCTTAGGTAAATTGAACGCCAGGTTTTGCCTTCATGTAAACTTGCTCTCATGAACCAAGCTGGAATTGGTCTTTCATATCAGTAATAAAATGGAAGTTACTCGAACAGGATGGATTGAAGATGGTTGTTTATGCCCTCATAATCTCTTGCGATTCATTATACAGCCTTTGAAGATTACCCAGAAACTTAAGCAAGTCCAGCATGCAGCAATACTCATACTCAGTGGTCAGTCAAGACACTGCCACATACCTCTGTTGCACAAGCTGCACTGGTGACCATTACATTTCCAAGTGTAATTCAAGAAGTTGGTTGTTTCCTAAAAAATTCTATTGGCTCTGGGCATTCTGGAGACCACTTTTTTTTTTCAATAGTTTCAGCCATCCTACCTACATAATCAGGGAAGTCTGCTGAGAATCCCCAGTTACCAGGAGGAATAATGTATTCCAATGGCAGGTTATAATTTCAATTATAGCCTCCTTTGAACAGCTTCCTTGCCAAAATTTATTTAGTTCCCTCCTCACAGCCTTCCAGAACAGATAAAAACATGGCTCTCCTAGAAGGTGTTTGGGAATTAATTGTTATATCACAGTCCAATTAAACACAATTTCCCTACATTTTTCTCTTTAAGAACAAAGGAGTTCATGTTTCTCAGAGAATAAGATAATTATTGCATTTGTGTATACCTTCCCATCCCTTTCATTTTTAAAACCCTTATATTTTTTCCACTAGACCCAGATTAAGTATTTTTTACTACTTGAATTATTTTATGTATACTATGACATAGTAACATCAATTCTTAGCACAAACACACTGGCAAGAACCTTCTTGAAGAGAAATTTCTGAACATTAATGGATTAGGGATGCATGGATCTCCAGTTAAATAAAATTCCATTTTATTTAAATAGAATTTTGCATTACTTATTTGCACGTATTTTGGAGCTTGGTTTTATTAAATCATAGTTCCACAGTTCCATTTGGCATGTGTAAACTCATGGTTAGTAACTGAACTTAAGACCTGTTCACTACTGCCAGTGTTCTGAATTGGATTGCTACAAGTATTGATGCTTATATGCTGCAATTAATCAGTTTTCACCAGGAATCTGATTTCACAAATTGGCTGATGGTGAATGTGGGGAGACATTATATATAGAGAGATATGAGATATGGGTTTGAAAGTGAGCTTTGGTTAGCATCCTTTTGATGAATGGGTAGAGTAAAGTCTAAATTAGAGAGTGGCCTAAGGATAGCTAACTGTTGGAAGTTAGCTAACAGGGAAGAGGGATTGAGTCTCTGCATAGGTTCTCACCAGTGAACAATGGGGAGACTGTTGTATAGCACAAGATAGATCTGTACAAATCACCGGTAAACAGACCACATTTTGACAAGCACTTTCAGACATCAGTTAATAGGATTAAATGACTGTCTACTCCTGGAGTCTTTAGGCAGCTTATAAAAATCCAAAATAACAATAAAATAGTTAAAACCATAAAATATCACAAAGAGACCAGACTAACACAACCATGACAGTAACGAACAGCCACAACAGGAGGCTTATAAACAAATTAACCGTAGACCTATCTTAAAGGCTTTCCTGAATCCCAGGAGAGAGGTTTCCATCTGTACCTCTGGATGGGATTGCTGTTCCAAAAGGTAGGGACCATGACAGAGAAAGCACAGTTCCTCAGTCCCATGACAGCTTTTAATAGATGGGGCCTGGAGTTGTTAGTATCTTTGACCTATGGATCTAGGTCAGTTGCACTAAGTGTGTATTAATTTCTTTTACTTAATGAAGATAGAAGATTAAGAAGAAGGTTGAGAATTGGAAGCAAAGGCTGTGCTGTAAACAGTCTTGCTGCATTATTACAAAAGTGGAAAGCCAGCAGAATGTCAGGTTGCATTCTTGAAGCAATATCTAAACATAGGCAATCTTTAGTATCCTTGGCTCTATTTCCTCTACATGCTGTTTTATATTCCCCCTTTGTATTTAAACAAAGCCAAAATGTCCCCCTGCTCCTCAAGAATTTTGAACCCTACTATAACAATAAATTCCCACTATAACTTCAACTTAGTAATTCCATTTTTAAAGGCCATTACAAATATTACAGCTTTTATGTACACTATAATAGGATTGCTTAAGAGCAAATTTAATAAGATAACCATAGAGAATTTTGTTAAGAAGAAATTTCAAAGAGAGAAAGTTTATCGCTCTCCCTCTCTATAGACTTAAAAGCTAACTATATTTTTCTGTCAAGACCCATCTATCTATATACTTTTACATGTTTGTTTTTTAAATCTTAAAATATACTACTATTCAGTGAAATAATTATTAAGGCAGTCTCTAAACAGACTGAATTACTGAATTCACAGTAATTCACACGTAACAAGAGAAAAATTGGCTAAGTAGTCTTAATTTGCAGCATATATTCAGAATTCAGCCTTTATATATGAAAAACAAACTATACATTGTTAGTTTCAAATAACTTGTAAAGCATAGAAAAAATAATTCAAGTAATCAGAACAGGCAATGATTTATTAGTAAAAGGAAACAGGGCAATAAATGTTGTGAAAAGGAGAAATGGTAGATTATATTCAAAGACAAGCAGCTGTCTTTAAGCTAAGTGTTTTTTGGCCAAGGACAGAGAACATATTCATCTGGATCCATGACTAAGCCATTTATTTATTGCTAGTTGAAGACCGATCTCCCTATTGCAGATGTATGGACATGTACCACAACTGATTGTCATCATAACTCAACCTTAAATTCATGTCTGAATGGAAGTGTTCTAAATGCAAATTGTCTAAGATATATGCAATAAGGAAGTGAGTCTAAATTTAGTTCCTATATTTTTAGCTAGAGAATTCTAGTCAACTTTTTGTCACACAACAAGCAAAAAGGGTTCCAAGGAACTCTGACAGGTATAGAAAAGAAATGTGTTTCTTAATTAACCTAAAAAGCACGTATTGATGCATGAATCTGGTATTTAGCAATTGTGATAAGAAACATTTAAGATATTATAAACTATTTATAATTATTAAAAATAAACCTAATTACAAAAAGTTGAAATGCTGGTACAGTTTTTCACCAAGAGTCATTAAGGCAAAACAGAAACATACTTGTTTTATGCATATTTTTCCCTCCCCTGAAGACTAGGTTGTATTTGAACTCTAAAGAGGACTTAAACTTAACTTTCCTGTCAAATGCAACATTAGTCTAACAGCATCTTCATCTGAACTGAAAATTAGTCTCCAGATATCAGGTTGATTGCTAGGTTGGTTGTGACAAAAGGATGAAACAGATTCCAACTGGATATTTTTTTCTCCTTGAGAAGCACCCAGTAAACTACTGGCTGAACCAATCTTACTTGCTTTTGAAAATGCCAACTCGATTTTTCTTAGATTCTCTTTCTCCGGGACAATCACACATATGAGTTCACTTAAAGAGTGCAACTGAATTTTGGCGCACTGTGACTGATTGTCCGTGGAATGCAGCACTCTAGATATTAGGCAGAAGGCACTGTTTTCCTTTATAAGACCAATATGAGTATTAGTAAGGACCAGGGATCTGATATCACCTGCTAATTTCACTGTTGTATAGAGCAGTACCTGAATGTCACCTAAAAAAGGTTTGTTGATGTCCATGTTTTCATGGAGTAAATAAAGCAGGTCAGCTAAGTCACTCTCAAAATTGCACGACAGGCACACACTATTTTCCAAAATTAAGTTGGTGACTGCTGAAGTCCAATCAACAGAAAGTTTTAACAGATCATCATTTAAGAGTGGGTGATTCAAGCAAGCACGATCTAATGGAGATATCATAGTGCTAAGTATATCATGGCATATTCTTTGTGTAAAGTATTTGTTAAAGGTGAATAGTTTCATTACATTTTCTACATGGGGACCCAAAAGCATAATGCTTTGTCCAGCATAACCAATTTGGATATCTTTTAAAGTATTGATTGAGAAAACATGAAAAATATCCAAAGAGTTCTGACTGCTTTCTAACTGATTGGTTGATGGAATAATGGCATATAAAATAGAATCATATAAAAGCAAGCAAGCAGGCTCTGGTCCAGATTTTTTATAGTTTCCCACTGCAATCCAGTATATTCCTTTTAATTTGTTTGTCTTGGCACAAATTTCTGGCAAGGCAGAGGTCAAGTATTGTAGCAGTTCTTCCAAAGAATATTCTTGCAATTCCAGAAGATCCTCTGAAAAGTCCACAAATTTTTGTCTAAGAACCAGGCTACTAATCAATGTATCATTCCTGCGAAGGTTACTAGATTCTATAGCATGATTTACTGTATGCATATCAATTGAGATTTGTGATGATAAGTAATTTGTGTTACTTTCTTTTCCTAAAGGCCTTCCTGGGCCAAGACTTGCACTATTTACCTTCAAACCTAAACTCAGATTTAGTTGTACGTCTTTAATAACTGGAAAGTTTTTGAAAAATGATGCCAGTTGTGTGCATTTCTCATTTTTGTGATAGACACTGACTAGACCTTTGATCCATTTAGAAAACCAACCATTTCTAAATTCTTGACAAATGATACCATGGTAAGAATTGCAGAATAAGTTAAATAGATGTCTCAGCCCATAATTCTGCTTTGATCCAATAAGTGATTCAGGTAGTTGTCTTTTGATTTCATTTGTTGCTTTTTCATGCAATGTCCGGTCTGAAATCGGCTGATTTATTTGAGAAATTATGTTACAATACTGTTGGAGAGACCAAAAATGGGATGCACCAGGCTGAACTTCAGAAGAAAATATGGGCTCTGAAGCTGGCATGTGGTGGTAACTAAATGAATCAAACTCTGTTTCCGTGTTCTTAGATTCCCAAAGATTACCGAGAAGACTTTTGTTTCCAGAATGAAAAAATGTTGATTTTTTACCTAATAAATCAAACATTCCAGATCTGTCAGAAAGTGATTTTATGGAACTGTCAGAGCACATTCTCCTGCTTTTAATGTCTTTGGGTTCATTCCAGTCACATCCATCAGGATACCTCCATCTGACATACTCTTGTTCTATCTCTTTCCCTTGATTTGTATTTTCTTGAGTCATGCCAAGATTCTGAATTGTCCTTGAGAAAGGATTAAATGTTCCTATGGCTTTGTCCTGTCTACTGATTCTTGATGCCCTTGTGTCTTCTCCAGCCTGATTATATTTGATGTCATCATTAGACAATGTCAGAAAGCCATGAAAGGACATCCAAGGCTCTCTTTTCTGTTTAAAATGTAAAAAAAAAAGTGCTTTTGTATATTTAATAGGAAAGTTACTCAAATTTAAATTTCTAGATGTGGATTTTGTCATTTTATGCATGTTTGTGTTAAATAGCAAAAATCAAATTATGTTGAACAGGATCTGATTCAAAAAGCAAAGCCATGATTCTTCTTTTCCATCATCTTGCATTTAGAACAGTATCCATTTCTTTTCTGTAGGATTACTCAACACCCTTAAATCAGCAACAGCCTTCCAACTGACCCTATGAATCAGGACTGTATCCTATAATTCCAAATTTTTAAAAATAATTAGGAAAATATTTTGGTAAATATTTACTCCATTTTCATTTGGAATAGGGCACATGAAATTCATTGGCAAGAAACTGATTATGTTTTGTTGTAAGTAAGGATGACTTATATTCAGCATTGTATGAATATACTTTTGCTTGCACCATGAGACTTTTTCTTCGTCCTTTCCCACTGTAGCATGCTGAGCTCCATTCCACTCTGGAGATTTTGAAGGCAGGTGAGAAACTGCAAATCATTCCCCCCTCCATTTAATAGATGTGCTGCTAGAAGAAAAACATCTACAATACTGCACATAATATTTCTGCATTATGTTCTAAATCTGTTGTCTTGCTGAACATGTCTTGCTTTCAGGTTTTAATCTCTTGATTAGAACAATGACCTCTCTCAATCCATGGGTATAATTGGAATTTGTAATTTTCTGTGCAGTATTGCTAGTTTGTAATTAGTTATTTCTAGCAATAAACTGTTCCTATCTGAAAACATTTGAAAGGGATACTGTTGTAGCGTCAATGTTAGTATATTATTACCACAATCACAACTACCCAAATCTTTACCATATTAGAAGATTTAATTTTAAGGCTTTTCCCACCGCCATTAATCTTGCTGGAATACAGAATTATAATTATGCTGTGAAATGTTAAGAAATTTAATTAGAGAGCATGCCATAATTTAATATTAGCACTTCTTCAAGCTGACAAGCTATAACTTACCTCATACTTCAACTTGCGTTGAACAGCACCATTATGAAACTTCTCGTTATCCTGAAAAGCAAAATGTCCTATTTTTAAAAAAGTTGCATAAAGGAAGATAACAAATAGCTCAGTTCGCTTGTATATTAGCAATAAAAGGCAATTTTAACCTAAAATGGGCATGATAAAGTAGACTTAAAATATCTAGAATTAAACAGGAGAAAATATACTAGCTACCTAGTAATTGCAATTTCTAACATTTAATAATTTGAATTACAATATGATCTGCCATATACAGATAGTACTTATGACTATTTGTTAAATGATCATTTGAAGTTATGATGAGGGTGGAAAAAGTAACTTAGGACTGATCTTCGCACTTACAACCATCAGAGCATCCCAACAGTTAAGGGCTCCAAATTTGAGTGCTTGGCAACCAACACGCATTTATGATATTTGCAATACCCTAGGGTCACATGATTGCTATTTGCAACCTTCCCACAGGGACACCAAAGTCAATGGGAAAATCAGATTTCCTTAACAAACATGACTCATTTATCGACTACATTATTTAGTGCTCCTAACTGTGGTTGTAAGTCAGGGACTAACAGTATTTACTTATAAAATGCCTAGTAGGTCTCAAAAATACAAAACAACACATAATTATTCCATTATATTTATAAGTTAAATAACTGACATCATAGAAAGTTCCTTTATTGCAGGGCTCTCAAACCTGTGGCCCGTGGGTCAGTTGCATCACACGCTGGCCATGCCCACGCCCAGTTTAGCAAAGGGGGGAAAAGTCATGATAACATCACGTGACACCACCATGATGGTGCGAGTTTGACACCCCTGCTTTATTGGCTTAAAAGGAAGATGGAAATGTATCCCAAGGCAATTACATATTTCAGTTTACTAGTCCTGACCTTCAGCGTGTGAAAAAGAAAACAGAAAAACTCTGTGTACCAAATGAGATATGCAGGACTTCAAGTACATCACACATAGTCCTAAATCAGAAGCATGTGTGAATATATGTCTGCTTTAGCACAGTCCGATTTAGAGGAAGATACCCATAAATCTTGGCAATGATATGTGGGGGAGGGCATATTATTCAAAATAACAATTAACTAGTTAGTACATGTTGTGGGTTAATGGAATTGGAAAGATCCAGGAAAATGAGTAATAACCTTCTAAATATTAAAACTGAATGCTGGTCATACATTCAGATTGGCAATAGGGTGATAAACTCATCCCATTAGCCCTGGCCCCATCTTACAATCATTAGTAAACAAGACCGCTCCACTGGTACTGCACTCCCAGACTATGCATGCTCCTATTTTCTCAGTCTCATGCAATTTGTGCCCAGTGTTTTAGCAGTATATTTATTGCTACATATTGACATTTAGCTATATATTAGCTAATATTATTTATGTTCAAGCTTTTCCTCGCTGATATTAGAAGAGAAAGCTCACAGGTCAATCATTCCTGGATACACCATTTCAATTACTACTGTATGTTCACTGCAAAACCTAATAAAGCTGTAAAGAGGCAATCTAGCAATTGAAAATTGTAAAATCCAAGAAGCAAGGTTCAATTTTCACATCTCTTTCTTCTGCCAATGTACATAATGGTCTTGGAGCCTCACAATTTTGGGAGAAGGTTAGCGTAACTATCATAGCATATATACATGTATACTATCACAGCATATATACATATATATGTTGTTTTAGATTTTCAGAGATCAGGTAGCATAAGCTATATTAAAATAGATTTTCAAGACCAAACTGAGAATAGGTAAATTCCCTGTTCAAAGACACATACAAACACACAGACACCACACACAAAGTTTAATCTTCAGTATACTAAGTAAAAATCAAGAAATGATCTTAATATTTCTAAATTACATGGATTTTGATAGTATGAAGCATTACTGTTATTGTCATCATCAAGATTACATTATGTTCATCATCCACTGTGACAATATATGAGGAGTAATTTTGCTTTCTTACATTATGTTAGAAGACATCAATTCTCTGAAGAAAACAAAGGAAGTGATTTTAAATGTTATTGCCCACAATTGTATTTTCTTACCCTTATGCTTTCTGTAGACTGTAAGTGACTGATATTGTTTTCTCCAGAGCTGTACTGAATATTTTGAAGGCGTCTTTGAACTTCTTCTTCAATAAAGGTATTTATTCTAGAAATGTTAAACATCACAGATTAACAAGAAACAATTCATTAGGAAAGGACTTTTGGAACACTGCTATTCTGGTAATGTAGAATACAGAACCAAAGAATCATTGAACTATTTATTTTCATAAACCAGATATTGATCTCAATGGCTTCTGGTGTTTAGGGATAGGACATGATGATTGTAGTTTAATAACTAGCAGATTTATAGTATTAATATATTGCTACCTGCTTCCGATAGGCTATAAAACCCATGATGTCTCGAAAACTACAGCAAAAACAGCTTAAGCTTGTAAACAGCTTAAGTTTACAACAATTATTAATGGCACTCAGCAAAAACAAAAAAAAACAAAAAACATGGTAATAGTCAATTTCCCCCAGTAGGTTAACGCATACATTGAGAGCCGTCAATACCAATCCTCCATTAAAATTCAAAAGGGGATTTACTACTGCATTGTTTTCAACAGCAACAAGACTGCAGGCAGCACAGATTCCCACTGTGAGATTTACTCATTTATAATAAAAAGAGACAGCATTATCTTATACTTGATAGAGAGGAGGAAAGGATATATAGTACGTGTGGATCATTTTTATAAAACAACCTCAAGTGATGGAACGGTTTAGCTCTTTATTTATTAGGGGATATTTCACATGCCCTTGATTACATGGCAGTAAACCAAGTGTTCTCAAACTATAGGTTATGACCCGCTGGGGAAGCTGAATGTAACTTTGAGGTTGCAAATTTCTGGGTGACCATAGGGTTGAAAACTGGGTGGACAGAGATCAATACTATTTGCAGAGCTCTGGATCTTGAGAAAGGAAGAAAGCAAGGAGAACAAATGGCAACAGAAAAGGGAGACACAGTCTGGTTGCATTTGTCCAGGAGATTTTACTTAGAATAAAAAATAAAGATGGTGCCAGAGTCACCCAAAACATTAAACCCAAGCAAATAATGCATGCAAGTAGGTTGTTTGTCCTGTTATATGAATGTTGTCAAGGAGAAAAATCAGTGCATTAGGAGAAAAATCAGTGTAGCATTACGGGGCTACAAGGTACGTATAGTGACCAGGCAGGCAGAGTCACATTTCCTAACTGTTGAAGAAAAAAAAAGACGATCAGAAAATTGTATATGTTCCTGGGCACAATTTCAGATGTTTCAGCTCAAATCCAGTTCAAAATTTTCTTTGGGAAACATCTCAAATTTTTAAAGCCAATCAGCCATGCCATATTATTGTGTTTATAACCCTTCTAGAAATAGTGTTTTAATAATCTAAAAATACTTTAGAATTAAATGTAGTTACAAATCTGTTTAAAGTGGAAAACTGGATATACTTACCTATCATCAACCAATGGCATAAAAGATTGAGATTTTGAAATGTTAGAAGGGGAACTACTATGAGTCAGCCTCTCTTCTACAGCTCCAGGATATCCCTTTTCAACTCTATCACCTTCATAGATCTTCTGTTTTAACTGCTGTATTTGCAAGTCCAAACTGTCAAGGAAATTCAACATATATTCTTTAAGATTCTTCTACACGGTAGGATTTCTCAAACCTAGCTGCGAAATTAGGGGGTTATATAACAATCCTTACCACAAATAAGATGAGTTGAGTAGGAAAGGTGCCACCAGGCAAAAATAAATTGCCTGTAAAATGCATATACTGCCTTAAGCAGATCATTTTTTTTTGGATTACTTTTAGTGTATTGTTTCAAAGCATGTTTAAGTATAAATTGACAGAAACAAGATACAAATAGATTAGAATATTACCAGATGAGGACATTTCTTCACTACATAAATATATTAACAAAAAGAGGTATTTAAACTGCTTAAATATCAAATAATTATTTGTCAACAGGAAATTACATTTGGATGTGAATATATTAGTTACACTAACGATCAGTAGCAACTTTCAAAGGAAATATCTTAGCTCGTTAAAGGTAGTTATCTGTGAGACTCAGATCATTAGTAACATCCGTCAAATTTGCTTTATTTTAGAACTTAAATCATGATTTCAATCATTTTACAGGAACTGGCAAAAGTCAAATTACGGTATTTAATTCACAGCAGATGTAATTTAAAATGTTGTTTAAAGTATTTCAACTACTGAGGAATGTGAATGTTTTTAAATATACCTGAAAGTCTATTGTCAATTGGTACCTCATTGAAATCTACCATAAAATTGTATTTTATGTATTGTTAAATTAAAAAAACAAAAACAAGATTGTTTGGTTTGGAGTTCTAACTTTCAGGATTTTCAATATTTTTTTCAAATATATACTATCTCATATTTGCAACAGTGCAAAACAAAATAACTTGCATACCTTATGTGTGCGGGTGCATATGACATGCACACAATCATTTAAAACTGCATTAAAATATAGTAAGGATTTTTTATTAATACAAAACTTTTTTTGAATTTGGCTTTTTTAGTTCCATCAAGCTACTAAAGGATATTTGCAATAATGTGCTTTCTACAGAAATGATTATATTCATTATTCAGGTATGAATATTCAACCTCAAAGATAAAAATGGGATCACTCATTCTTTTCTGTAGAATAGCCACATTTACATAAATCGTTTTCCACATAAGTCCACATTTCCTCAAAGAACTCAAAATATGAATAGATTTTGTTCTATAATATTTCGGGGCTTTAGATATTGCCCCAAAAGAATTTTTTTAAAAACTCTCTTCAAAAGAACTTAATGATTTTGTGAACAAAGGAGAAGCCAAGAATCTGAATTAAAAATGTTTGAGGACAAAACTATACACGATCTTGGAAATATTATTATATTTAACATTGAGATTTTAAAATATAAATGGGGTGAGGGGGATTTTTCTTCCTTGGATGCAGTTACATAGGAAGCAATACTGCATTGCTTTATTGACTCAACAACCTCTGGAGAAGTAAGACAATTACAATAAAATCAGGATATTTCCATTGATATTGCAGCACCAAAACTATTTTCAATGAAACTACAGGGAATGTGAATATGTGCTTGTATCTAATACGTACAGGGCAAAATTGATCCTTCTTACTTTTCTCGGTCTTGTTCCAGGGCTTTTTGCTGGGCCTCTACTGTTGCTTGCAAGCCTGTCTGTTCCCTACAACTGTTGTTCAAAGTTGCAAGTTTCTGCTTTTGCTCCTCAATTTCTAGGGTAGAATGGCGCTGTAAAGCAGAGTGCCGCCTTTCCAACTTAGCAACTGCTTGTTCCAGTGCCTCCCGCTGCTGTTTTTGCCTTGATTCGAGAATTTCTTTCTCTTTTTTCCAAACCTTTTCTTCTTGACGAGCTACGTTGGCCGTGAATTCAAATGTTTCTTGAAGCTGCTGCAGCTCACTGGCACTAGCTCTGTATTGGGCAAGCTGTTCTTCTTTTTCTTCCATTTCTTTTTCCACCTCATAAAGTGTATTGTCCAAGCTTTGCAAGCCTCTGTCTAAAACTTCAGAAGCTCTTTGTTTTTCTTCCATCAAAGCTGGTAAATGATTATTAATGAGATACAGAAGTTGTCGTTCCTTATGGTGCAACCTATATTCACACGATCTTATTTTGTTACATTCTTCCACAGCTAATGCAGTATCTGGTGTGTTTTTGTCTAAATTTAAATGCTCTGTGTGTACCTGTTTCAAATGATCCAGATTTTCTTGTTCTTCGATCATCTGTTTTTCTAGATGATTTCTTTCTTGAACCAAATCTCTCTCTAAGCTAGTCAATTGGTCTAGTTGTTTTCTCTTAAAATCCATGAAGTTACACTGTACCTTTTCTAATTCTTCACAATCCTCCTCTGCTTCAGATCTGGCTTCTTTGACTCGCAAGAGAGATTCTCTGATGTCTTCCAGATTCTTCTTTTCTTCTTCAACTCGTTGCAGATCTCCTCTTTTTAGCAGCTGTATCATGATTTGTTTGTCTCTAAGCTGTTCTTCTAGATTTGCCACCAACAATGCCTGTTCTCTTTCCTGAGCTTCCAATCTCTTTTTCTCCACTTCTAATTTTAAATACTGTTCTTCTTTTTCCTTTTTAAGTTTTTCCAATTCGTGAAAAATCTGCATTTTCTCCGCTTTTTCATTTTGATTAAGCTCTTGTAATCGCTGAAGTTCTTCTTTAACACTACCAAAAATTTCTTCTTCTTGCTTCTTTTTCTGAAGCTCTATTTCTTGCTGTTCCCGTAATCTCTCCTCTTCAAATTTTTCCTTTTCTGCCAATAAATCTTTCATCCTGTTTTCTATGTGAAAGCTTCTCTTCTTAAGATTCTCCTCTTGTTTTCGGATTTCCAGCTGAACTATTTCAGTTTCTTTACGTTGTGATTCTACTTCTTGTTGCATTCTTTCTAATTCAGCCTTATTAGTTTTTTGTTTCTCCTCCATTTCTTCTATGAGTTTCCTAAAATGTTTTAATGAAAGAGATTTTATTTATCTAAAGATATACCTAATGACTGTTACCTAAAAATATAACATTGACATATTTGAAGAATTACATTTCTAAATGGAATTATTGAGAAACAACCTTTGATGATTAAAACAACTATATATTTCATCTTTAACTTTAGATAAGGTGGAACTTCCATCTGAGCTAGTACACAATTTGGGGGGCCTCTTGGACTCATGGCTCCTGCTTGAGGAGCAGGTAGTAGCTGAGAATAAGGGTGGGGGATGGCTTTGCAGAGATTCATCCAGTGTACCAACTGCACCCTTTTCTGGACTGGGAGGCCTTGTTCATAGTTATTCATACCTTGGTCACCTCCCATTTGGATTTCTGCAGTGCATTTGGGGCTGCTCTTGAAGATCACCCAGAAACTATAACTAGTCTAAAATGCAGCAGCATGTACAATGATGGGTGCTCTTATGTTTGTTCATGTAAAACCTATGTAGTGAGAGCTACAGGAAGGAAGTCCAGAAAAGTAATAGAATTACAGACTTTGCAAAAATAAGGCAATGCTAATATTAAGTCAAAGCCTTCTCACAGCAATTATATTCAAACAAAATTTAGCGACCCTTCTGAATATTTCTATAAACTGTTTGTTACCAAAATTAGAGTAGTGTACCCATTGGACCAAACCAGTGGTGGTTTCAAAATTTTTTACTACTGGTTCTGTGGGTGTGGCTTGGTGGGCGTAGCATGGCTTGGTGGGCGTGGCATGGTGGGTGTGGCATGGGAAGGATACTGTAAAATCTCCATTCCCTCCCCAATCCAGGGGAAGATTACTGAAAAATCCCCATTTCCTCCCGATCAGCTGGGACTTGAGAAGCAGAGAATAGATGGGGGCGGGGCCAGTCAGAGGTGGTATTTACCGGTTCTCTGAACTACTCAAAATTTTCACTACCGGTTCTCCAGAACTGGTCAGAACTTGCTGAAGCCCACCTCTGGACCAAACTTAACATGAGGTTGAAGAGTACAGAAATAAATCAAGTTTATGTTTGAAAAAAAGGACAGTCCAATAATATATGCAAAATGGTCTGAATTGTTCCATCTCTACAAGAGCTCAGGCAATCTAGACTTCATCTCTAAAACACTGATAAGAGATTAAGTGGTTATAGAAATCTGTTCCTATTATTATTACAAAGCTCAAATAAAATCAGATTATGTTGAATTACAACATAAATGCCATTAGACCTTTCTAAAAGAAAACTGTTAGAAAGCTAATAATACAGAGAGAAATCTGCTTGTTTTCAACCACTAAGCTTTATCATTAAAAAATTCTAGCAAAATCAAAAACTCTCTTATCACATATCAACAATATAAATTTACAAAGAAATATTAACAAAAGTTACCTTTTACTTTCTAATTTTTCTAGTTCTTCTCTTTGTTGTCTCTCAAATTCTAATCTGTTGTTTCAAAAAGGAAAGAGCTACATTATTTTTTGTAAGATCATTTTGATGAATTATTAGAACTGCATGTCTATAATTTAATATGTTCAACAAAATGAGTTTCATGTACAATCTAATTTGTAACCATGTTAGAGAAACATTAAACATGAGAGAAGAATGATCAGCATTGGTTCTACATGTTAGATCCATGCAAGTAAAGCACTCAATATAAAGAATTTAATTTTTTTCTACCTTAAAAAGACTGGTCCTTTTATAGGGAAAAGGCTGCCAGAAGATGTGGAGAGAAATAAAGTACAGTAATCAATTAAGCAAAAAGAAAAACAGCAGTAACTATAGAACAGAAATGTTTCATAGATAGATAAAAAGAAAATATGAAGGACATTATTAATGAAATACTAGCTATTATATTTAGAAATCCATTGCAAAAGATTCAGATTTCCCAACTTTCAGGTGCAATTTTCCAGACGAAATTGCAAGCAACAAACAGTTAAGATACAATTTATATATATTGGAAATTTAGTACACAGAAGATGGATTTTCTCTGTAAATCAGGAACAGATACATGCAACTAATACTTCTTCTACTTTCAGTGTAATTGTGTTATACATGATCACTTTATTAGATCTCAACTCACTTGGAACTTTGATAGAATTGTGAATCAAAGATGAAGAAAAATTTTACATGCACATAAGAAGATGGGAAAAGAATTTTAAAAACTATCTTTATAGATACACAATCATTTTATTACGTTTTAGATTATATTATTCATATCATAGTTCACTTGTTGAAAATATGAATATTTAAAAGTTAAAATATACTTCTTTCAGAAATAAATATATAATTGCTAGCTGAATATTTTAAAATATGCTTAATTTTTACTTCTAATATCCTCAAATTCCTGAGAGTCTTCCATTTTTAATGTGTTGAGTTTTGAGTGCCTGCAGAGTATATCCAGAGAGAAAGATATCATCTATGGCCCATGTTCCTTGGAGGAACAAAATACCAAACAAGTTAATATATTCCGGAAAAGAGGTATCTGTGTTCTTCACTTTCCAGCCAGGTATGTGCCAAGAAAGAAGGGAGACTGAGCCATCATCATAGGAGGGTTGGTGTCCAATTCCTCCATTGATGATCTGGTTAACCTCATATGGTCTTCAATTTCAGCAGATGAGGGTGTTTCAAAAGATTGCTCTCCAGAAACAGAAACCCAGGAGAGACATGAGCTCACAGAGGAACTGGCTGTGTTGATGCACAGTTTGATGCACATTAAGACTGTGCAATGGTCACTACAAAATGTAATATCTCTATGACTATGTTGGGGCTATGTGCAAGTATGGTCCTTGCCCATTTATTTCAATTTAAGCCACATAATATGTTAATCCTCAGGGTCACCTGAGTAGTGCTCCTGGTTCCTGTAGTCTGCAATTTTTCTCTGGAAATCCATTCCTACTCCCACACCATTCAAAGGGTGTTCATCCCAAATTGTATAGCTAAAAGTCTTTTCAGTGACCCTGAGGACACAGATAAATCTCCAAGTGCTTCAATGACCTTCTAAAAGGATGCAAATGGCCAGCTGTCTGCAAGGAATATAAATCCTTCCATTCTCCATGATCCTGTTAGAGCTGAAGAAGCTTCTTGGATGAGAAGCAAAATGTCTTCAAAGAAAAAAACCAGAAAGTCCAGTTGCCTCCTGAAAAAGCACCTTTGGGACTCTCTTTCAATTCCACTCCCAAATTTTTTTAGCAGATTCCTCTGAACAGGTGTTATTACGTTACCAAACTATTATCCACATTTTCTAGGCCTCACCATCTAGAGTTTCATAAATTAATTCTAGCCTCCTTCATATAAGATGCAAACCTTGGTTTGACACAGGTTGTTATAAAGCAAAAAATGTCCTCTTACTGCAGTGCTTACTTTTCTGATGGACAACTCATTAGGTTCCTTTTCATCACTCAGAGAGCATAAGAAATTTTATAAAGCACTTAAGAAAGAACAAGCAGTAAGGAGGGATAAGGGGAGACTACTGGGACCACCAAGTGAGAAGGTTTTGGAAAAAGCTGGTTAAAATCTTATGGGACTTTAAGATCCAAACAGACATGCATCTTGTTCACCACCTGCTGGATACAACATTTGCCAAAAAGAAGAAAGACTGCTTCATTGATATTGCTATACTGGGTGATGCTAGGATTGAGGAAAAACAAGTGGAAAAAATTAAAAAATACTGGGACTTGCAGATCAAAGTAAAACACTTATGGAAAAAGAAATCCATTGTTATACCAATTGTGATTAGAGCCTTTGGAACAATATCTAAAGGATTCCCTCTATAACTGGAATTATCAAATTTATCGGACCTGAACATCCTAATTTTGCAAATAAAAAAAACAAAAACCCTACTTAGAATTGCCTATAGTCTTAGATGCTACCTTAATAAATCTTAGATTCTTGATGAAGCATTATTAAGTTTCCACCAGTCTTTAAGTATAAATCTAATTGTAGGTTACCATCCATAACAACAAAAACAAGAATACAAGACTTTATCTTCTACACTATAGAATAGATACAGACAACATTAATTTTCAGGAGGAAAATTGTCGATAGATGGAACAAGATTCTGAATACATGTCTAATAACTCTCATTTGCTGAATCTGAAATACTTTCTATCAGCCGATTCTTCTTCTAAAGAAAGTTCCTGTCATGATACCCACAGGGCATGAATGAATGGCAATCATCCCTGTAACAGCCTCTTCCCTCCCCCAACCCCCATCTTATGGAATACTCCCCTCTTCTAGAACTTTGTGCAACTTCCAATTTGCTACAGTTGCACAAACAGGTTAAAGCTGTTTTATGTTAATGTGCTTCCAATTCCAACTGATTGACTGTGTATATCCATCTGGGGTTTTATCTTTGCTGGCTATGGTTCTTTTTTGGTAATTATATTTACTTATCCATTATTATGCTTTTGGGTTTTTTCCTTTTTTTAATGTTGTACTTTCCCGCCCTCCCCCGCCACTCAAAGCCTTTGGAATTGGGACAGGTTATAAATATTGTGAAATAAATAAAGATTTGCCACACTTTAAAACGTTAGTTGATTTCTTGGCAATAATTGATTCTGCACCTTAACTTATGTTCAGTTGAAAATCAAATATTAGGAAATAACCCAATTTTTCAATGTCTGGCAACAAAAATAAGCCTTGCAGGAAAAAGCTCCAGGGAAAACTCCAATTTTTTTCTCCCACAAGATTTTCCAGATTTTTATTGGGTCATCACTCTCAGAAACTTATAGCTGATTAATGCCTGTTAATGATTGCAGCTACGTAAGGCTCAGAGAAAAAAGGATTTCAAGTGCAAACAATGAGAGACAAACTATGCCCAGGCTGATTGTGTGCTTCCCAGAAATCATCTGTGGCCACTCTTGAAGAAAGAATGCTGAAGTAGACAGACTTTGGTCTGACACTGAGGGGCCATTTTTCTTGGGAGCAAATTACCTGTCATATTAAATGATTGCATTTAATATGTCTTTTGCTGTGATGGTGGTTTAATTAAATAGCAAATCTACTCTCAAGCAAACTGCAACTCTGGGAAACGTAAGTGAACTTCAAGAACTTATATGCCTGCCCCCACCTCCTACCCACCAAAGGTGGCAAAAATACAGAGCGTGAATATAGAACATTTTTTACAACCTAAAAGAATAAGCAACCTGGGGGCTAGAGAGCAAAATTTGACATTTTATTGAATGCCTTATTCCACACTACCACCATTTGAAGTGACAGATATATCTGCTCTGCACAGTGGAGATCGAAAACACATTAAGCAGAAGTACATTACAGACATAGCTGCATTAAGTTAAAAGTAGACTGTATTAGGTTAAAAAAAGTAGACTGAAATACTAACTAGATTACTGAGATACAAGCAGTAGCTTTGAAAAAGAGCCTTACCTATGAAAGTACAAATAGTTAAGAGTTGTAAGCTAATTTTTTTGACATAGAAGAGGGAAGAGATATTTCCGGTCACCTGACCCGTGCAAGAAACAAGTATTATCAGGAGAAATTGTTCTAACCATCTATGTAGTGGTCTAAAATTCATACATGAAACAAGGGAATTCTTTTAACGATTGCAATTGCTATTTTGCAGTTACACTTCAACCTGGATGACAGTAAACGTTGCACAGCTTTACACTTTAACAGTTACATACACTTACAATTAATACAATCAACTGGCCAGAATTTTAAAAATATTATCATTTTTTTAAAAAACCATATATTTATGTATTCCTTTATAATCATATTTTTAAAATCCTGCATTTTCCTTTTCCTTTTAGATTTTACATCTTCAAACTTTTGGAGCCACTTCTTAATATAAGATTATTATTTTTGTTGGGGGATACCTACAATGTCCTAAAAACAACGATTAAATTTATTTATAATTTGGAGTAAAATGATAGTAGTCTGTTAGCACTCACATTAAGTGAGTAATGTGCTCATGATTTGAGCTTAGTTCTTTGCATAATGAAAGGATATAATAGTTTTAGAGTCTCCAAACAAATATAGGCCATTAGCCATGCCTTTTGGCCTCCTCAAGTGATCTCTGGATTGCAAAGGCAGATTTACTGAGCACCTTACCAAGGTGCTCAGCTCACTCAAGCTGTAGTAAAGACAGTTCTGCTGTTAGAATATTTATCAAGCAGATTTTTTTACTACCTGATTTTCACATTTCTCCATTTTCTCTTAACAATTAATATTAATACATATTATTTACGTATTTGAAGGATAATTAAAAATAATTACATGTTCAAATATAAATACAATATATTGATATCAGCCATAAAAAAGTAGTTGAGAAAAAACCCACCCTGGATTATACAGCATAACTGTTGAAAGGTTTTCACAAGACTTTGAAAGATCTGACATGGACAAACTGAAGGAAGAAAGCAATCCACTCTGTTAAAGACAACAGAAAAGTTAATGGTTATTTGACTAACTGATTGATCAATTATATGCTATCAAGTTGGTTTTGACTCCTTGCAACTACATAGATGATTTCCTCCATGACAATATTTTTTGTGTAAGAATATTTTGGGGTGGGTAGCATAAACATTGTACTTTAATCTCATTCAAATTATTGCACCAAGATCAATCAGGTCCTTAGTTTAGAAGTAATGGAAGTTTGCTATGTATTCCATAATCTCACCTTTCTTTTCTCCCTCAGTTTGGCTGCTTCCTTGGGATGATTGAATCGAAACATATTTGTCCGCCCAAGTAATATTACAGCACCTGGCAAGAAAATCATTGAAGCCATAAGCAAACCAAAGGCACAGATAATTCTTCAATTCAGACTAAAACACAATTAGTTTACTCCATCATGGAATGAAAAATACATTTTTTAGAAAATGAGCTGTAGACTGCCACTTTTAAAAATGAAATGTATGATGTTTGTATTCTAAGCTGGATAAAATTGCTTACTCAGATGTTTTAAGAGCAAGAGAAAACCATTTATTGGCAATAAACTTTTCTCCCAATTTAAAAGAAATCCTCCAGGCTTTTTGAAATGATTCAAGTGGAATAGAGTGTATTTTAGACATCATAGCCATATGTTTTTTAATATTTATTTTTCAACAAACGCAAAGAAACACGAATATATTTGAAAAGAAAAAATGTGCGGAAGCTCATAAAAACTCATAGAGAGAGCATTGTTTTTGTACCAGATTATTTGAATAAATTGTACTATATAATAGCAACCATATCAATTGCTGCATTAACTGATCACCTGCAGTAAAAGTTTGGCAAGACAAAATTTCTCACAGAGCAATGATACTCTGCCTCAGAAATAATATTTCCATCCATATTTTAATAATTACATGCAATGACATAATCATAAAAGTTGAAAAGGTCTTATGAATACTAAGACCACCCTCCCAATATAGTGTCTCAAGAGTGTAGCAAGTCTTATGTGCCTAGAGATTTATGTGCCTATTTTCATAAGTATAGCAAGCTTAACACATAACTACACACTTGACAAAAGAGGATGAGTAGAACCAATGAATGAATGAATGATTTTTTTTTATTCCAGACTGAATATGGCAGGGAGGTGACTGAACATCTAAAATCCTGTGAAGTTTACCAGAAGGTGGAGAATAGAAGGAATAATTTTATAATCCTTCCCTATCATGGAAACTCTATACCAGAGATTGGTAGATATAGTCAACATAAGACAAATCTCCAACTAGATCCCTCAGAGGCAGCCACTTTGTATCAACTCTTGTGGCCTTCACCACTAAGTGGACTAAGACAGCAGTTCTAAATTGAATTTTACTAAGACTGTAAATCAAATACTAATTCATATTTTTGCCAGAATGGGTTAAACAATGGCGATCTTGACAGATGTAACAACTTACTTTCCTGTCAGAGATCATGTGGAAGTTATGAGCTACTTACAATAAGGAACATCTCATAACCGTTCCATGTTATCATCAAGCAAATAGATTAATGGGAAAGTTGAATGAAACTTGGGGTCCATGTTTGAAAAATGTATAGGAGAACATTTCAACAAATTGGAACTTGATATTGCCGCAGCTTGTTTCCATGCAGAGCTGTAGAACAGCCTTGTCTTGGATTTCCCCTTCTGTACAGGAAGGATAAGTCTGAATTAGTGCAGAGATTTCATTCAGATATAGGCTTTATAAGTATTTTGACCATGATCAGAATGCTTTTTACTGTACTATTATGTTTATTCTCTCACAACCAGGAGACAGTAAATGAAGTGGCAGAATAGATTGAACAGCATCAGTGATCAAGAAGAACAAATACAACCAAACATGAGCATAGATTCAGGTCTCCATGGCAATCAGAATGGCAAAACATTAATACTTTGCATTTATTGCTATCCATTCACCCCTATTTAGAGCAATCCAAACAATTCTGGGTAGGAAGATAAGTTTTTGGGGTGCTGTGATCATTTTTCCAGACATTAGGGAGCATAACATGCATATACAAACCACTGGGCAAGTTTAAAAGGGGTGACAGACACACGGTCTTACAAAATTATTTGCAAAAAATAAAAAATGAACAGGATCTTCTGTAACATCAGCACCATGGTTTAGATATTTGTCCTATCTGGTTGGTGAAAACCGACAAAGGTAACTTCATCTTGATGAAGTGCTTGTGGCTAAATGCATCCTTGAGTGATGAGATCATGCTACCTGACTTGAAGAAAGTGGCAGTGCATCCTTTTTTCAACTTGCCATTGCTTGACCCAGCTATTAGCCTTTTTCCAACTTTCTCTTTCTGGGAAATGTTCTTAAAAAGGCAGCAGATCTGTAGTTACATGGTGCTTTCGATGAAGCAGAAAATCTAAATCCTTTTCACTTAGTTTCAGGCCAAGGAATGAGACACTGATTGCTCTTGCGGTGATCTGTGGTAGGACAGGGAATGGAAGGAGTATGGCCTTCCTGATCCTGCTAGATCTCTCAGTTACCTTCAGTAATGAGCACGGCTCCCTTGTGAAGTCAGAATTGGGAGTATGTTTTGCAGTAATCGTTTCTGATGGGAAGTTTCATTTGAGTGTGATGTATAGAAGAGAAGTCAAATCTTGGAAACCTCCACTATGGGGTGTCATGGGGCTTGACCCCTTTTCAGTCTCATTTCATTTCCATATGAGGTCAAAGGAGGGGAATAACTCCTCTTGGAATCACAGTTTATTGTAAGGGGAAGTGGAGGCCATAGCCAGGAAGACCTATATGCATAGTTTATTTATTTATTGTTTATTTATTTATTGCTTCGATTTATATGCCGCCCTTCTCCGGAGACTCAGGAAAGCTTACAATGCATTAAGCAATAGCCTTCATACTTTTGTATATACCTGCTTAGTAGGGCTTTTGGCCCCCACAAGCGATGTTTTTTTTTTATACAAAGTCAGCTTATTGCCCCCACAATCCGGGTCCTCATTTTACCTACCTCGGAAGGATGGAAGGCTGAGTCAACCTTGAGCCTGGTGAGATTTCAACTCGCAGTAATTGCAGGCAGCTGGCAGCTAAGTGCTACTTAATTGCACTTTAGTCCGCTGCACCACCAAGGCTCCTTATAGTTCTATATTGTGTACAAGTTGTGTTCTTTCGCGGATCTTATAGCTTTGTAAACCATTACTAATGCCTCTATTCCTTCATATTTGCTCTACATAGGGCTGCCCTTGCAAAACTTATGGAAGCTACAGAATGCAGCAGCCCTAAATTATATGACCATTAAGAACCCTAAGGTGAGCCTATCCTCTGCACCATCTGATTTTTTATAATGCTGGTGCCATCTTTGCTGCTGTTTTCTAAGACAGTCAAGATCTGGCTTTTTTGGAGGATATTTGGGGATGGATGACTACTGTTTTGCTCCTGAAGAAATAGCAATTGTTAAGAATTATGACATGTATGACTGTATAGTGGCTTATGATAATAATTTTATTTTTGTGTCATTATTACTTTTGCTTTCGGCTCAACTGTATTTTAATGCTAGATTTATATTGAATGAAGGAAGTTGCATAAAGTGATTTTATAAGCTTTAGCAAATGAATAAATAAATCTGAATTTATATCTTGAATCTGATCTGTCTAACCCATACCATACCATTGTTCCAACTGAGTTAGCTTTCTATGTTCTGCTCTAATTTACTGAAATTGAGAATAGCTCAAACATTTCTTCTTGACTTGGAGAGATAAAAAATTATCTGGAGATTCAAATTAAAAACCTAGATTCCATTCTATAAATATTATGAACCATCACATCTATTGAATGGACTGGAAATTAAATAGTTCAGCAGGGCAAGAGAAGCTGAAAGAATTAAATTTCAAGTTGAAAACAGAATATGGTTTACAAATGAGGAGACATAAGATTTTCTGTGCAGTATCACCTAAGTGATCTTGAATATAGCCAGGTGATTACATTCTGTTTGGTAAATTCTATCAATTTTCTTGTTCCAGCATAGTTCTGTCAATAGAGTTTATAGATAGAAATCAGTATCAAATGTAATTTTGATGTGACATGGCTTACACTTTTCTTCAAATACTTGTACTTCAGCTTGCCTTTAATTTCATGTAAATATTCCAATCCGCTATAGAAATAAAAATGTAATAAAGTTGGTAGGACTCTACTGCATCGATTCTTAGAGAAGAAGGATCTAGTGCTCTCTTTTCATTCAAAACTATACTAACAATTCTTACTAAACCTTATCCCAGGCTAATATTAAAGATTTACTGTTCATATAACTTCATGCTGTAAAGCTATTTCAATACTCTCACTGTAATTTATGTGATGCATTGGGTTGGTTTTTTTTTCAATTCGTGTACTCCTTTTGCAACTACTAAGTCTGAAGTTACAATTCCAGCAGCTATGCCATAAAATAATTTCTTTTGACTGTTACGTAGATAGTTGTTACTTAACATTCTTCTTGTTCTGAAAGTTACATTTTCCATTTCCTTTTTGAAGGATACTCACTCAATCAACTGTTTCAAATCAATGGGAAAAGTAATTCTATGTGGCACATTTATATTACAATATTATAAAAAATCAACAAGCATATACAGAATTTAATATTTTGCAACTAATAACTATTTATTTAGAAAACTTTTGTAGGATTTATTTCTACAAACAAGTTAATTACAGAGTAATTAAACAGTGCAAAAGAAGGTATTTCAGTACTTCCAATGTCATTTGAAGGAAATGTCATTCTGCTCAAAGTCAACTGCACAACCAAAAGGGATTTAGAGTTTAAAAGTATTTCTTACGGGCAGGTAAGATGTGATACCAATTACATTCATACAATTAATAAAATGGTCTTTTTTGTTATTTGAATAGTAGTTAAGCAAAGTCTGAAGATTCTTGAGATCTTGGTAGTATTAGGGAAGAGGAAGAGGAAGAGGAAGAGGAAGAGGAGTTGCTTAATGTTCATTGCCATGTAACGGATATAAATGTAACTCCACTGTAACTGAAAATATATGCATGATTGCTATCATAACCAGTTGCTCTGAGTCAGAATAGAAAATTGAGGGGTTTTTTTTAGTAGATTAGTACTGTAAATTCAAGAAGAAGCAGAGTAGTTTTTGTTACATATGTGCAACATGCATAAGGGCACAATATCATTAAGTTATCATACAGTTTGGCCAACATACTGCAAGTACAACCAAAGCCCAAACATATGTTTTTTACTCCAAACACATTTACATTATCCTATGTAATCTAGGTTCCTCATCTAAAGGCCACCTTGTAAGCCAAATAAACCACTTGTCAACTCTCAAAATGACTCTAGCTGATGTTTCTTGCTTCGTGTCTTAGTTGCCATTCTACTTATGGAATGTAGAATGTTTTCCTCCAATGTGCCAGACATAACAACGATAAGGCTCCTGAGAACCAAGGCTAAATCAGCGTGCCATAGCAACTTGGCAGGAGGGAGTGCTGAGAAGTTCATCACCTGCTTGGGTGGCTTATATGACCTATGACACGAGGGGAATGGACAGTGTCTATTCTTTAATTATACCAAAAACGCGGGAATTATTCAGTGTTGGTTTCATCTTTGACCATGCCGATATGATGTACCTAATAAACTGGATTTTTGAGGAAGCCAAGGCCTCAGAGTCTTGAATTAGTTGGGAGCATTACTCGGCACCATGACACCACTGTCAGCTTCCCACTACTTACGTATATACGATAAAATAAACTAAACAGAGTAATACATGAATAACGAATGTGAATACAAAAATGAAATATGGCAGAATTTTTTCTAGCTTCAGTTTTCTCATTCATAGCTCCTCTAGTTCTCTTTCATATAAATTACATGTATAGTACTTGCTTCGTTGCAATGATCTTATATTCTGACTCTAAATTCCGTAGGTCAAATTTCATTATTCCAGGATATAGTTTCATGACCTGAATAGTACAACATATATCTGATTTAAAATGGCTCCTTTTTGACAATTTCAAATTTTCCTTGGTTTATACTTCTCAGATTCCATTTTCCAATGATATATCTCCTACTAAAAGATGAATTTTTCTTTCAGTAGTGGTTCCTTTGTTGATAGAATTTATTAGGACTTTGTTCAGGCCATATTTCTGTCTTCAGATCTGCTTGTTAAAAGTTCAAAGCTTTCCCCCTGTAATTAGAGGAAAGTCTTCCAAATTGTGAGTCTTAACATCTGGCATCACTATAAAGTTCTTCTCCTATATAAGTTGGTTTGTCTGATGTTTGCAAAGCCCACCTATCCTCCTTCCACCCTGTGGTAATTACCCAAAGATCTCCTCCTCTCTTTTCTATCTCATTAGAAGGATGACCTAGCTAAGAGTTCCCATTCTTGCAAGCATCACTGTTACAGCCATTGATGCCATTGAACTCTCCCATCACAGCAAAGTGGTAATTGATCCTCTCTGACTTGGTTGTTTTCTTGCAGATGTTTCAATACCCAAACTAGGTAACATCATCAATACTAGTGGCAATTGCCTAGCAATAGCAATATTCAAAATTGATGGTCATCACTAAAACTTAAAAAAGAATAGGACATTTTTTTTATCTGAATACATATTCCTATATATTCTGATAAGCAATTTCAGTAAACTCAGTGAAATAAATGAAATAAATCTAAAGTCAGCAGAAGCTGGGATTTACAGCCATGCCCAAAGTAATAGAGTCCTAACAAGATAAGTAAAATGCAAGCAAGCAAGTCATTAAGGAGTAAACTAGATGGCTGGAAACATTTAGTGCTGGAAACCAAGGTATTTTGATTTAAGTTAAATAACATTTATTAACTACAAGTTCTTAGACATTAGGGTAAGAGCTCAATTGTGTTTAGGAAAGTGTGATGTCTTTTGATCCACCCTTTATGGAATATTTTAATACACATATAAATAACCTAGTCAGTAAGGATAATCTCATTAATCACCCTGACAATAATATCCTAATGGGTTGTGGCTCATTAACTAACAATATAATATAACCAATTAAACAAAAGTAGATTTGCATAAGTCACAAAGAAGGTTTATAAACCCACTTTTTCCTGGATACTGCTTATTGGCCCCTGGTATAGCAACTGTCAATAAATCAATTTATGATTTGATATATTGTATCTCCATATCTGGTATAAAAGTACCCTACGGAAAAGAAAAACATTCCTTCAATAGCAAATTTCATACCTTAGGTTTTATGCTAAGTGATTGTCTAATGTCGTTAAGACATAAGGCTAAAATTGGCAGACAGTAAATTCTAGTCCCACCTTAGCATGAAGCCAGCTGGGTGACCTTGGGCCTGTCATTCCCTCTCAGCCCTAGGAAGCAGGAAATGGCAATTCACTTCTGAAATCTTGGCAAGAAAACTGCAGGGACTAATACACAGGCATACACGCACACAATGGAAAGGAAATATTGTTTAGTACAAGGTTAGCAATTTTGGTTGTAACTTTGAAATTTTTAAAATAGGAAGTAGAATACAAGTTCTTTAAATAAAACTATTTAAATAACTATTTTTTCTGGACACTCTGTGACAAGGTCAGTAACTGTCTCTGAATTTCCTTTCCTCTGTTTACTGGCTCTAAACTTGTACAACACTACTTGTATGGCTCATGTCTTCTTATTATGGCAAGTCTTCTTATTATGCTCATTGCTCAAATCTTTACTTCATTATCTTTACAATATAATTCCCTTCAACTCCTTCTTTGTCCAACCATTTCAAATTAACACTATTTTTCAAATGAAAGGGTACAGTTAAGCATGAAGAAGCTAATTAAAAATTTCTGACACAGGTATTTAAAGGTCCTAAAATTCCAGACTTAAAAATATTTAACAAATAGTTCTAATACATGATTCTTAAAAGCTAATGCTAATATATTATGAAATATGACAGCTGTCATTTGTCTATATTTAAGCTAGTAGCCTTAGTGAATCGAGAATATGTAAATCTTCTTCTAAAACATGTGTTCTCCAAGTTAAACCAATAATGTCATGAAGAAAAATAAAAACATGTAAGTCTCAATTTAACATACTTATAGAATTGAAGAACCCTAAATTGCATAGTATTTCTTCTTACCGCCTCAGCATGCAGATAGTAAACTTAAATAAAATAGTGTGGGGGTGCTCTATAAAGCCCTGAGAGAGAAATACACATTACAAATAGATGCATGCTCTGTTAGGGGTTAACACTCAAGCATCTGGAATGTCATAATCCAGCTGGAGATATTGATTTTGTCCTTAGATTGGTGAGGAAACTGATGAAAAGCCTTGCATTTCTCAGAGCAACTGAATTCTTTAAAACATGCAAAACCATAGCAGTCTTGTAATCTTTTCTCTCCTTCCTTCATTTTAATACTCAGAAGCCATGAGAAAGATTTTGTGATAAAATAAGGATGGTAAAGGAAAAATAAAATGGAACAGCTTTTTTCAAGACACTATTGAAAATGAAATTGAGCAAACTGAACATTGCTGCAGGCAAAGTTTAGTGCAAACATTCAGATGAATTAAATGGTCCTTGCATCGTCAAATCCTCAGGGGACTAGCAAGGAACTGAGGTGGTTCCTTTGTTGTTAACATCTGTTGTCCTCTCTTAGCTTTTGTGGTTTTTTATTTTTTCCAGTAGTAATTGTTTTTTTATATCTTAACTGTTTTATAGACTTATTGTATACGAGTCACTTTTTCATAAGATGGGCAGCTCATATAAATCTTGATGAATAAATAATTAAAATATTCCATCTCCTGATGTGAGGCTTCATTTCTTTAAGATAAGCAGGAGGTATTATTATTTCCAATGTGCGGCTAGGATGATTTAATTTCTGTTCACTTTGTGGAAAGGTTAGACCTAAGATGCCTTGAAATCACAAATTGTTTTAGTCTCCACTAAAATACATTTCTACTCCCACCAATACACACATGTACACACACACACACAAGGTCTCACTATATTTATCTGCCTATCTGTCCTCCTCATATCCTGAAAGTTTTCAGATGCATTGGACCTGAAAGCATGATGGCTGGTAATGATAGAAAATGCAATCTAAACACATTTGAAAAGCACCAGAGAAGGCTGGATTGGAAAAGTACAGTACATGCATCTCATTAATGTATCATCTGTACAGCTGAACTGTAATAAAATATGTAGAAGAGCTCTGAAATGAGAAAAGGCAAAGAAATGTCTAGGATAATACCTTGGTTGAGTTGTGTAGCCTCTGTGATTTGAATTCCATTTATAGAACACTGTGCTCCATCGAGTGGTATTAAATGAACCGTTCCATTGAAGTGTTCAAAAATGCAGTGCTCGCTTTCCAAATCAAGACCATGAAGTACTAAAACACAAAAACAGATTTGTAATAACAATTACAATAGGATTTTTATTTTTCTAATCCTGAAGTTTTAATCTATTAACACTTATCCCATTAATTCCTAGATTTCATAGTTTCTTTGCATTGCCTGTATACAGAGAAAGAATATTTAAAATAAGAAAGGTAAGTAAACTAGTCTACATAGAAGCAAAGAAATAGATCAAAAAGTACACATTTTTAAAATAACAATTCAAACATGAAATTGATTAGATATTAGTAGACACTGAAAATTGTATTGTGTTAGAGAGCCATACACAGCAGGGGTCCCCAATCCCTGGGCCACAGCCCACTACCAGGCTTTTAGCCATTCGGAACTGGGCCGCGGAAGATTAGTGCAGCTGTAACAATGATCATTCTTGAGATATCATTGAGGCACTGGAAGTGGTCAAAGATAATGTGATCTCTGTTATGAATCCTAGGAAGGAATAAATTGTGCTGAACATCATAATGTAAACATAGATTTGGTCCTATTAGCTTAGAGGTATCAAACTTGATCGCGTTGCGGGCTGGATCGTGATGTATTGCAAGGTTTTTTGCCTTTGTGGAGCCGGGGTGGGCGTGGCCTGCACGAGCTGAATCCAGCCCGCGGGCCGCATATTTGACAGGCCTGTATTAGCATGTAATGTCGAATCCTTCAGAGTTTGGGTATGATTACAAAATGCATAACTCCTCCACCTAATGAATGGTTATGCATACTTGGAAGTCTTATCCATTCAGTTAAGTGGAAACAGCACCCCTTATTCTTCTTCTAACATGACCAGCAGCTGCTCCTACTCCTTTAGTGTCTTTACTCTTTTTGAAAATCAGATGCTTCCCTTTGAAATGGACAGAAGGGCTCTTAAACAATACATCTGGAATGATGATTTTTAAATCAGTCTAAGTTTCACACTCACAATTCATAGAATTTTCTCTAAAAGTCCAAGCTTTGTACCTTTCTTTTACAGGAAGATTTACTAAATCTTCGATTTATGACCATTTTTTCAGTAACCGTTCAAAATTACAGTGATGCTGAATGAAGGAACTTACAGCTGGTCCCTGAAGTTACAGCCATTGCAGAGCCTCCAGAGTCCCATGATGAAAATTTAGGTGCTTTGCAGCCCACCAGCACTTACAACTGCAAGGGTGCTTTAATTCCCTCCAATCTTTTCCCCGTCTATGTCCTTTCAACCCCCTGCACTCTGCAGCCCCTTTTGCCCTAGCTGTCCTTTGCCAACTTCTTGCTTCCGTTGCTGACCAAGCATGCCCACCCTGGCCCTTTGCGAGGCAGTTGCTGGCCACACAAAGGTCGCACATGACAGTTTCCTCAAGAGAATTTTGGAAGAAGGTCTCAAATGGCTGATAGCTACCTTACAAAGGGCCAGAGCAGACAGCAGGAATCTTAGAGTACAGGGCAGTGTGGGCAGCTGGGGCTTTGTGGGTGGTTGCTTTGTGCCAGGCTGCCAGGCAGCTACTTTGTGCCACATTGCTGGGCAGTGACTATGTGATGCATTGTGGAGTGGCTATTTGCTTTACACTGTTGGATTGTAGTGTCACTCCATACTGCTGGGGTTTTCTGGACAGCTGGGTTTCCTGGGTGGCTGTTTTATACCACTCTGCAGTTTCATGCCATGCTGTTGAGATATGGCTCTGCACTGCAGTTCAGGAGCTTCTTAAATCCCAAAGCCACGGCATACCAAGAATCCCAAGCAACAATGGCAAGCAACAAAGTTTTGAGGTTGTTTGCCACCTCTGCCCTTTGGTGCAAGATAGCCAAAGGGCAGAGGTGTGGGGCGGGGTGGAATAAGCAGTAGCAGGGGATGAAGTAGAAGCAATCCCTTATATTGGAAGAACCAAGGCTCAGGGCTGAGAGAGACCAAGCTGGGAATGGTTTAAATTGGAATGGATTCTTGGCTAATGCCCAGTGGAATTCAGTTAACAATAGCAACAGGGAGTGCTGGGATTGCTGTTGCTAAGCAATGCAGTCACATGATGTTGCGACCGCACCACTTAACAACAGAAATTTTGGTTTCAATTGTAATCCTAAATTGAAGACTGCTTGAATCACAATTCCAAAATTTAATCAGACCTCTGCTTTGGGCAAGTTGGAGGCATTGCCTCTGTTGTTTTGTAAGGGTGTTATAAAAATGCCTCTTTTCATCAGCATAGATATCCACATGGGGGTGGCTCAGTAGAGTCCCTGAGCAATATGCACCTTTTCTATTCAACTCTGGATGCCTTCTATGTAGTCTATGCTAAAGAAATTCCCTGGTAGAGAGTATTTCTATTACAGTTATACTTCTTATACTTCTTAATTATACTTCTTTTGCTCCAACCAAGATTCTGATATATTGTCTTGTTTGGTGCTTATTTATTTTTTTATTTTATTTTAATTTAATTTGTATACCGCCCTTTTCCCAAAAGAGACTCAGGGCGGTGAACAGCCAAAATTAAAATACATACAATACAAAAGTTAAGATAATTAAAAGAGATTAAATCAATCGGCCTCCCAATTTAAAACCCCAAGTCTATAAAATTTAAAAATCCCATTAAAAACCATTTAGGCTAGGCTGGCTTGCTGGAATAAATAAGTCTTCAGGGCCTTACGGAAGGTCCGAGGGTCCGGGATCAGTCATATTCCAGGAGGTAGCTCATTCCACAGGGCGGGTGCCCCCACAGAGAAGGCTCTCCCCCTGGGGCTGCCAGCCGACATTGCTTGACCGACGGCACCCTGAGGAGGACCTCTCTGTGAGAGCGTATTGGCCGGTGGGAGGTTATCGGTAGCAGCAGGCAGTCTCGTAAGTACCCTGGCCCTAAGCCATGGAACGCTTTAAAGATGAGAACCAACACCTTAAAGTTTATATACAGTATATGTACTGTGCATCTTTACTTGAGATTCAACAATTGTATTATTTTCCTCTTTAACTTTTAATTTTGAATTTTATCTTTTCATAAATTTATATACACATATGCAGGGGCACAAAACAGAGAGAAGTATATATAAGACTGGTTTAATTTGAGAGCTATAGAAATATAACCAAAAATATAAATCTGCATTGCTACAAGAACAAAGACTTTTATTCATATGCGGTATTATGCTGAGAGCAACAGGGAGGAATTCATAAAGTAGTAGAGAAGGGCCAGGGATAAGAAGTTTATAATATAATGGCTTATTTCCAATACCATAAACCTTAGTAAAAAATAATGCAGTGTTCTATTTACATCAGCCATTCTTCCAAAAACCACAGGTATGATTTCTTCTGTAAGCATCCTATAATAGATACCTGCTCATGGCAATGAGTACTTTATGCATAGCCCTAATCCATGGATGGGGGAAATGAAGAATGTGTGTGTGTGTCTCAGTGGTTTGTATGTGTTAGAATAGTAATTCTAAAGCCCAAGTTTATGAATTTAGAAACTATCCTCCTAACCCTGCAACCAACAATTGCTGGAACAGCTATTAGATTAAAAGAGAAAGAGAGCATACTTACCAATATCTTGTTCTCTTGCAGCATCATCTCTGCCAACATGTGTTTGGCCCTCCTAAGGGAGAAAAATTGACATGGTATAGTCACTGCAGGTAGTCCTTGACTTATGACTGCAAATGGAACTGGATTTCTGGTTATTTATTTATTTATTGAATTTCTATACCGCCCTTCTCCCGAAGGACTCAAGGCGGTGAACAGATTAAGATTTCATATACATATAATATTTATATATATATATATAAACAGTAAATAATAAATTGAGTCAACTTTCTGTATCTGCTAAGACCTTGGCATAGAATTTAGATGTTTATGCTAGCCCTGCTTGTTGAAACAGAAAGGTCTTCAGGGCACGTCGGAAAGTGCGAAGATATGGGATTATTCGTATTCCAGGAGGTATTTTGTTCCAAAGAGTAGATGCCCCCACAGAGAAGGCTCTCTCCCTTGGAACTATTAGACGACATTGTTTTAATGATGGTACTATGAGTAGGCCTACTCTGTGAGAGCGTATTGGTTGGTGGGAGGTTATCGGTTGCAGCAGGTGGTCGCGTAAGTACTCAGGTCCTAAGCCATGGAGCACTTTAAAGGTAAGAACCAACACCTTGAAGCGCACTCGGAAGGCCACCGGAAGCCAGTGTAGCACGCGTAGAAGAGGTGTTACATGTGAGCGCCATGTTGCTCCCATAATTACTCACGCGGCTGCATTCTGGACCAGTTGGAGCTTCCGGGTGCACTTCAAGGGGAGCCCCATGTAGAAAGCATTGCAGTAGTCAAGTTGGGAAATGACGAGGACTTGAGTGACTGTGCATAATGAGTCCCGGTCTAGAAAGGGACGCAATTGGCGAATCAGGCGAATCGGATAGAAAGCTCCTCTGGCCACAGCTGTTATATGATCTTCTAAAGACAGTCGTGCATCCAGGAGGATGCCTAAATTGCGAGCTTTCTCTGTGGGGGTCAATGACTTGTCCCCAATAGTTAGTAATGGGACTAACTGGCTGTACCGGGACGCCGGCAGCCACAGCCACTCAGTATGGCCTCAAGGCACCGGGACATCACTTCAAGGGCATCATTGGGGTGGTTTGTGGTGGAGTTGTACAGCTGAGTGTCATCAGCGTACAGATGACATCGCACCCCAAAACCATGGATGATCTCCCCCAACAGCTTCACATAAATGTTGAACAGGAGAGGCGAGAGGACCGACCCCTGTGGCACCCCGCAAGTAAGGGGCCTCAAGGTCGATCTCTATCCACCTGTCAACACTGACTGCGACCTGTCAGAGAGGTAGGACAAGAACCATCGTAATACGGTGCCTCCCAGTCCCAGCCCTTCCAACCGGTGCAGCATGATACCATGATCAATGGTATCAAAAACCGCTGAGAGATCTAATAGGACCAGGATAGAGGAACATCCCCTATCCCGAGCCCTCCAGAGATCATTAACCAACGCGACCAATGCTGTTTCTGTGCTGTATCCAGGCCTGAAGCCGGACTGGAACGAGTCTAGATAGACAGCTTCATCCAGATACTGTGGGAGCTGTCGTGCCACCACTCTTTCGACAATCTTCACTAAAAAGTGAAGGTTGGAGACTGGACGGTAGTTTGCTAAAACAGCCGGATCCAGAGAGGGCTTCGTAAGCAGAGGTCTCACCACCACCTCTTTCAAGGCGGGAGGTAAGAATCCCTCACTCAGAGAAGCGGTAAAAATTCTCTGGAGCCAGCTACGTGTAACTTCCCGGGTAGCCAGCACTAGCCAGGAAGGGCACGGGTCCAATAAACATGTGGTTGCATTTAGCTTCCCCAATAACCTGTCCACGTCCTCAGGAGTTACAGTATCAAACTCATTCCAGATAATGTCCTCAAGATCTGCCCTCGTCATGTCATCCAAATTAACCCAGTTAGAGTCCAAGCCTTCCCGAATCTGAGCAATTTGTTAATTTCATAAGTTGTTACACTCCTCAGTTGAGGCACCAACGTGACCGGAGCTGATTTTACAAATTTTTTTTTGAGGTACAGTAGTTTTTTAATGAATCACTGTGATTGTTAAGCAAATTTTGTGGTTGTTAAGAGAATGGAAGAAAACATTTTAACATATAGCATATTAAAGGATATTTTGAACCCTGGACCCAGAAGTTAATTTTAAGGTATCTGTCGCTATAGATAGACTATGTTTAAAAGATGTTATGGGAAAGGAACAATTTTTACCAGAAAAGACTGAGACTGATCTGAACATGGATTTAAAAATACCTTAGTAGATGTCTTTATAATGAAAAGAGATAGTATGCAAAAAATATAACAAAAAAATGATCTGGATTTTTTCCTATATTAGATTTACAAAAGAAGCTTCATAAAGCTTTGAAGAATTTTGTGAGAGCAGACAAAGTAAAAATGAAAATAAATCAAGTTCTAGGTCATTATTTGAAGGGATTAAGGATCAAGATTATTAAAAATAAAAAGAAGGAATATAAAATTGACTTAGTTGATCAGGATTAAAATAGATATGTTGGTATCCCTAATATCTTTAATGGAGTTCTGCTGATCACTGGGGAAATGATCAGGTTTTAAGGATTCGTTTATAGATAAAATATGGGATATGGGAAGAAGATATCACTTCTTGTATTTTAAGAAAAGGTGATAAGTTACTAAAATTGTTTATATTTGTAATGAAGGGGGAAGTTATTTCTTTATATATCCTATTTCCCCCAAAATAAGACATCCCCTGATAATAAGCCCAATCGGGCTTTTGAGCGCATGACAATAAGGCTAAGCGCTTATTTCAGGGTTCAAAAAAATATAAGACAGAGTCTTATTTTCGGGGAAACACGGCACTTCTTTTCTTCTTCACTATATGTTTTTTATTTCTTTTCTAATTTATTTTTCTTTTCTGTACTTTCTATTATTTCTTTTTAATCCTTTTTACTTTGTATGAATTTTTTATCACTGTAATTATACAGTGTATCTGTATCTGTAAAATACAGATAATTTTAATAAAATTATCATGAAAAAGAACTACCTTTATTTCACTACTATGTTGAAAGATGAGTGCATATGAAAAATTATTTTGCCCAAGCTACAAAAGAAAATTATAGCAATAATTCTCTTATGCTTTTAATTTCTCTTCCTATAGCTCTATGAACAGGAAAGAGGCTGCTCTCAATTCTAAGATTCAAGAATTTATTGAATTAATTGTGAATTTTAGATTCAAAAATAATACTTTTTTATTAAACTTCAGATTGCTAAAATCACAAAACACACACTAACGTATCCTGTCTCTTCCTATACAAGCTTAAGGTACATTTGCCTGGAATTGGAGGTCTTATTAGTTAGTGATGTATTGCTTTTCTCATGCTTCCCATGACAGCTAGTAATATTTATTTAATTTACTTAAATTCATTTTAAAACCATATATTATTATTAGAAATTATTATTTATTTCTAGTTCTGTGCTTATTAATGAAAGCAAATGAAATGTTTCAAAGCATCAACAAGTAATAGTCAGAGTAAAATGAATTAAGAACAAATACAAATAAGAATGTTATTCATCTATCACTAATCCTCAGGGCAGATATAGGCAGTAGATGACTGATAAAAGCATATTAAACAAGTTAGAATATTCAGTAATTGACCTCCATTTTGCATAGAAGTAACAGATGTTTAGTATACTCAGACAATAAATTAGTACAAAAACACAACTGTCTTATTGGAAACTGGAAAGCAGATAAATATTGAATTACCTTCAAATGATACAAGATGATACCTGTGCTTAGAAGATCATCATCAATGCCTATTAAGTGAGGTAACTCAGAATCTAGCACAACTCCAATTCCTTCTTTCCGCAGAGCTAAAGTTTGCTCCTGTACATACAAACATGATATAGTCCTCTTAAAGACATTTTTGCATATTGATTCAATATAACTATATTGAATATTAAATTATATAATTTAACTGAGGGTAAAATCATCACAGTGTTAAAAGAAATATTGGAAATGATTATAATTTCTACAAAATAGTGTGCGAACCATCATCATAAATCAGTTGAATATTGATTTTAATTATTTGATAGAAAAGAAATGCAACAAATAAAATAGCATGACTTATGGTAACATGTAAGTATCAAAGCTTTGGTATTTAGATATTTAGGAGCAAGAAGACTGATATGGCGTATGATTAATATCATCCTTCAATAATTTTTGAACTCATAATGTCTGACCTATGGCAATGAGTTCCATAGATCCATAAAAAATAAAATTGCAGCTCCTAGAAGTAATTTTAATTTGTACTCAGGGCTTCCATTGATAATAAATATACAGAAGAACAGCATTCAGAATTTTCATAAAACTTACCCCAAATATAAATTTGATAGCTATATTTTGTTGTATTAAAGTTTCTAAAAACTCTTCAATAAAACATATTGCAATAATCCAGTTTATTTGTTTAAAACATGGAGCTATACAGGCAAATGCCACAATATTACTAATGTAAGCACTAGCTAAAATATGCTCACAGTAGGGCACCAAAATTTCATACATTGGAAAGATTTTTTTAGTCCATCCTTATCAAATACACTTCTCCAGTTTAAAGCTACAAAATGATTCTTCAGTGCATAGATCACATTTAAACAAGAAATATTCATGGACAGGTTTAGCTAGTTTTGCAATCTTATAGCTAAAACCTCCCTACAGTATTATGCTGACATGCAAAAATGCATATGAAATAAAATTTACAGCAACTAAATCAAGTAACTAGCATTACTAGCATCAAAAAGCATCAAAAGAAAAGAACCAGCTGAATTTCATATAAAAATATTTAATGTTAATCTACTTGTATTTTAAAAAATGGAATTGAACATTAATGTTTCCTACACGTTTCACGCCTCATTTTGTCTTAATTGGTATAAATTAGTTTCTCCATAAAAACAGACATTCTAGATATGCTGACCTACAATTCCCTTTTTCCTTTAACCAGCATGGTTGATTATGTATATATAGAGTTCAGTACATCTCTAAGTCTGAAAACTGATATAAATGAAAAAGCCTGTAACACCACTAAACAGTTGATTGTGTTTTAAAATATTACATTACCTAGCAGAGCAACAAAATTGAACATAAGAACATACTCATCTATGGCTCAAATGCCACTTTCCCCCATCGAGACAGAGTCCATTGCTCCTGACAGATTAATTTCAGTCTGTCTAGCAACAGGCAATTTTGGGGAAACTTACCTATTATGGCTTGGCACTTGAGCAACTGCTCCTTCACTACAGGATATGTTTTATGACATTTTCTATTATGTCACAAAATGTTTTATGGTAATTGTATGTCATAAAATGTTTTATAACACTTGTTAAAGTTTGGGGGTTTATTCCATGGGAGTCATGGATCGCAGACTTAAACACATTCTATATAAGTTAGCCCATTTGAGATACCTTGGTGCAAAAGTTGTTGCCCTCCAATGCACTGTTTTGCCCAGTAAAAGATTATACACAAACAGGACAGTTTTAGTAGTATATAGATATATAGAGAATATAAATTTAGAAAAAGGTTGGTTCTGAATATGTGACTGAAGCATGTCAACTGACACATATTTAGAACAAAAGAATGAATATTGTATAAATATAAAAGGTGTCTTGATCACATGAAGAGAATGAATGAGCTATAAAACTATTATGAAGGAAAAATGAGTGGATCAAAAAGAAGAAGAAATCTAAATTATGGGTGGATGTAGTTCATGATAACCCCAAAATCAAAGAAATGCCAAATTTAAACAACATACGCAATCTCTGAAGCAGCGGACATAGTGAAAGTAAGTACGGTTAAATATGGGACGATATATTTAATATTATTGATGTGAACCAATTTTAGCTAGGTTTCATTTTCTTGTTCTTATCACATGCCATTCTTTCTTTCCCTATTTTTTGCTGTTTTTCTAAGATCTACATATTGCTGTTTACTCTTTCATGGTAAAATTGCAGAAAATGGACCTTCTGATTTTTGCCAATCTATCACATCTCATGTAACAACCCCAAAGCTGTTTCAAGAGAATGTAACTTTTTTGAAAGTATGGGATAAAGGATAGCTAGAATGGAGTAGAAATAGAGAAACGATGTAACCTCTTTTGCTCTAGCAAAATATTGATCATTAATATATTACTACTAGTTTTGACTTTTTGGGTACATATGAGAATTTTATACTACCTTGGATGAAGCCATGATACCCTAACATTTTCACACAGAAATAAATGTATTCATTTTCAGTGACATGATGTTGAAATTATAAGTTATAGGAAAATTAATACAAAAATGAGAATGACCAGCTAAAGGTCAAGACAGTACAAAAATACACTCACGTTTTTCTCAAATAAAAAAGATCAGATGTTCTTGCAAAGACAGATGAAATGGCCTTTGAAAACCAATCAGTTTGATATTGTGTACCCCACCATAAAATAATTAATGCCTTGCTCTCTCAAATGTCATAGGTAATTGGCTTTGGTCAGATAGCTATGGATTTTGCTGATGTGTTTTATATTTCCATAAATGTGTGAATTTTGCTTCCCAGTTAAGAACTTTGCTGATGTGTTTTATATTTCCACAAATGTGTGAATTCTGCTTGCCACTTAGAAATGTTTATTATGAGCATTTTTTCATCCAAGCTTAATATACTCCTGTATTGAAGCAACTTAGTTCACTGCCTGATACAACACTACTGCATCTTTCACAGAGTGTTCACAGTGGATCTGTAATGTAGTATATAGAGGTGCAGGTAGAAATCTAAAATAACCTATCTCCTAATCCATCTTCTTGGGCTATCTTTCAGTGCATTTAATAATCTTAATACATAAAGCATTTCCATCATCAAATTAACAAGTACACACCAAGGAAAGCAACTAATAAATAAAATCCATAAAACTTTGAAATGCCTTCTGACACATAAACAATATTAGAGTTTAATAATACTTAATAACAAACAACCCAATCCAACATATTTTGCCTGTATCCCTTCTCAGCCAAAGATGCTCTTCTAACTGGCAAACCTAGTGAACTCTACAGTTCAAAAGAAAAGAAAATCAGCATCAGTTTGCATCATGAAATATATATGCTATCTCTTATTTAGGCAGCAAACTTAAATGTGGTTCCCATGTTACATACCAGTAAATCCACTAAACAAAGCTGGCCCAACTCAATGAGATATGTACCACACAGATGATCTTTTTTGCAAATATATATCCATTCTGTTTGTACTTTATATTTTAGATGAATGTAAAATTTCTTAATGAAATCCTAAAAATGCGAATGGGCTTTATTATCCTGACCAAAGGAGATCAGCAATAGGTCAAGCTGTTAACTGTCTTGAATGAAAAGCTAAAATAAGTCCTCTAACATGAAAAATAGCTCTCAAATACATGAGATTTTGGGAAATTTAAACAAAATTTGAAAGAAAATAAGGCATTTTTAAAAAAGTACTCAGTGGTAGCAATTTATTTACCACCCACAGAAAATTGTTTCACGGAACCAGTAATTTCCATGAGTCTCAATTTCCCATATGAAATAATCTAACAAACCCCAATGGGTTAGTACCAATGCAACAAACCTACAGATCTGAACAAATATCCTTTGCGCCAGTCACTCTATCTCATCCCAACTCAACTCAACTCACAGGGTTGTTCTTGTGGGGAAAATAGGAGGAAGGAGTGTTGGATATGTTCGCTGCCTTGACTTATTTGTAAAAATAATAAAGGCAGGATACAAATAAATAAAATAATAAAATAAAATAATAAATTACAGCATCCTTTTCTACCTTCATTGAAGTATAGATATAATTATGTACTATGAATTCTTTATCCTGTTCATATAAAATGTATCAAGCAAATAAGTCATGGAAGGACTTATTATAGGGCTTGTTTTTAACAAGTCCTTCCAGTCAGCCATTCACGATTTAGATGAGTTAGTACCCCTTTTGTGTTCATCACGTACTTAGAATACAAAATAACAGAGTTGGAAGGGACCTTGGAGGTCTTCTAGTCCTTATCTTATCTTTTTATAGTTGAAATAAAATAGATTACAGTATTCTAAACTTTGGTCTGCTCTTCTTTTTTCTTTTTTGGCCACTTCATACTGCTTCTTGCTAAAACTTTTCCTGTCCTTGCCACTTCTGAAGTCCCTAAAGTAAAGATCCAAATCTTTTACAGCAAAACATATATCTGAAGACTTGTATATATGACTATACCATCTTTATTTACAAATGGTAGAATATTTAAATGAACACCAGAGTGTAGTGTGTTATAGTCATTAAAAAATAAATTGAAAACATACCACAGCAACATGGAGAACAGTAATCCAAATCCTGATGCTGCAGGCTTAAGATCTTCCAAAAATTAATATTTTAGTATCTAGATACTTTGAAATTAGCTTTTCATTCATATAATTACAGTACTATATTTAGAACAAAAGTACCAAGTTCAGAACAAAAACAATGTCTTTTTTTAAAGGAAAGGAAACAATTAAAACTCCATGTGATATATTAAAAAAGTGAAGCTTAGAGACATTAAAATATGTATTCCACACACTGCTGAGATTTCCTAGTTAGATTTCTCTTTCTCTCTATACTGTAAATAATGTTATCCTCATCAATCAAGAAAACCCATTAAAATTATGCTGCAAAATAAATAGGGAACGTGATGTTACACCACAAAGGCTGTAAATAGCTTACCGTGAAAAACAGATGGTACTAAAGTACATCAATAGGCCTCAAAATTGAATGTCAGTTTGAAAAAGGCAGATGTAACATGCAGTTCTGACCAACTGAGCAACTACTAGAATAGAAGTTATAAGGATGTGGATTAATTAATTATGCTATTC